ACCTTAGCACAGGATGGTGAATTCTGATATTTCAATGGGAGGAGGTCCGCAATATCGTAAAAGAAACCCCCGACCAATATAGAGAAATAAACTCAAACACATTTCCGAACCCAACATGCACTTAGGCAAGTGATATAATGTTCAAACTATCTCAATGGATGTGTTCCCATTTTCATTACCTAGGTACTAAATATATTGATAAAAACAATAATATCTTTATTTCAGAGACTTTTGCCGATATAGTATAAAAATCATATCATGAAATGATGTCACAAAAACTTACACCTACATATTTACAATAGGAAATTATATTCTAAATATTCCTTAATGTTATAGGGTTCAATATTTTTTTAATGATTGAGATTACTGATTAACTTTATTCAGTCAGGTAGTTTGTTAAACAATTCAATGGACATATAATGGGGGCTATTTTCTGTTACATTGAGCCATTGAATTGGATAATTATTATTTTAGTTTTTTCTTTTATATTTGCTGAGTATTTGTCTTCGAATTTGAAAAAAACCATTAAATATTGACCTAAATACTGAGTTCAGTTAATGCGTTGAGAAGAGTACTTTGACCACGCCACTGAAGATGACTGCCAGAGTTGCAGTTGAAACGTTTGGAGATTATCAACGAAGAAAATCACGGCAAAAACCCTGGAACCAACCAAAACATTGACGCCAGCCGTGAAAGCCTACATTTTTAAATGACTAGACAGTTTGAATCAAAAACGTTCACCCATCAAATCATGAAATCACTAAGATTGATTGACTTGAATAAAACCCCAACAGATTGTGTCAAAAATACCATCAAATACAACGCAAAAACACAAAATTTAGAAGGAATAATGAATTCAAATCATTAACTTTCAGGTTAGGCAAACCATTCTACATTTCAATGCTATGCGGGCTCCATGTTTTTCAAACTAAGTAATCACCAATTTATCAGTGTTTCATTATCCTTATACAAACGAAGCATTGTAACATATGGCTCGAATATAAGTCTGTAAAGACTCGGTAACCTTGCTCTCATAAAAAAAAACACAGCTCAAAGAGTTATCTTTGAGAATGTAACCAATATATTCACAGAAAGCAAAGTTAGAAAACAGAAATGATGCAGTAAAAGTAGATACCAAAGTGTTACAGACAAAGTTTAGAGGAACATTTACTTCTTCACAGTATTCAAAAATTTTCAGATTTTTCCATTTCATGCTTTAGATTCTACATCGGTTTTGTTTATTTATCTTCCAGTTCTACACAAAATATTTTTAATTTCAAAATGAATTTTAATTTTATTACTCCGTATAGTTTTGATAATATATGGAATTTTAACTTGTTTTTGATTCTATTTTATTTTCATTTCTTTTTTTTTAGTAATGCAATCTGATTTTTTCCAAAAGGATCCCTCATCTCCACCATTCATTCAACAACTAGCATTTTTTCCTCCCAATTCTAAATGTATTCAACACAGTACACTCACCTGAATGAACCTATCATTCAAGATAAATCCATACATCATCCATTGCAGGGAAACTATAAACGTTGCAAATATCAAATGATATGGCAAACTATCCGTGTTTTTAACTCTGATAACATGCATTAGTGTTGCAAATGGGGCGGCAAAAAATACTATGGTCACACCACTGCAAATCAGTCCCAAATGTGATCTAGCATTTTCTGGATGTTTGGAATTGTGGATGTAGACTAGAACTATGAGGAGGAACAAGAGACAAATGGAGAATTGACGAATCACCATCGTCTGAAAAAAAAAGTTACAGTTAAAATATTTACCGAATAGAAAAGAAACTATGAGAGTTTAGAGCTAGTCATGATATTGCCATAGTAACAGCCGAGATTGTGGTAATAGTAACATGAGAATGGGTAAGTAAACAATGCAAGAGATGGCTTTGCCAGGGTACAACATAGTTGTTATTGTGTAAACTTCTAATGAATCAAATATATAATTTATAGTGATTAATTATATGTGGAAAATTAGCAAATGCTACAGAATACGTATATCAATCAAACCATTGAATTAATATATTGCAAAGATATATTTCAAAATATAGAGTTCCTAATAATGAAGTATAAATTCAGTAAATGCTGAGCATTGAATTTCTTTCAAGAAAATTAGAAACATGTTTCCAAAATTATGAAACAGTTAGTAAATGGTAAAAGAATAAAAATTAACCAATTATCTTATCATATAAAATTCCGCCCCAGACATCAAATGTCTAACATTCTGATATATTATTAGACATAGAAAGGACAGAGTATAAACGATTTTCCTGTTAACTAATAAGTAGAAAGTGGAATGTAAAGTAAAAAAAATACAATGAAACTAACAATTGAATAGAACTGGCCGATACTTGATGAAAATCCGTATTGAAACTCATTAATACAGTTTATTGTATGATTTTCACTATAAAAGGTTTTACAAAAACCACGACACGTCTTTCGCTATACAATGGATTTCTCAAGTGTTACTTCTGACTTTCAACTATTTTATACTCCAACATATTACCTACTTGATTGCCTTCTTTCCAACGAACGAATCTACCTGAAAAGGCCAGGTGTAAATTCATTAACTATATGAATAAATTAAGTTTTCGAAAGTACTGGAAATAAACAGATTTTAGGAGAAACTTGAATTCAATTCTGGTCAAAAAGGCTTACTATACATTAAATGAATTTTTTGAGGATAACCTCAACACATAATAATATTCAATTTTTGTACATTTATATAAAAATTACTCATAGTTTTACCCATGTACAAGATTACACTTTAACAAAGATACTGTTTGTGTATGTTCTCATTTGTGTATATTAGAACATTCATATATTTACTTAACAATTTATTGATATTTATGGTTATTTTTTTTAGCAGAAAAATGTTTGTCGACAAGATGTATTTCTTATGACATTAAACGTATATATATATATCTCTCTCTCTCTCTCTCTCAATGATGGCGAATTATTCAGTTCAGTTTCATCATTCATAAAATATTGAGAGTTTTTAAATTTGTTTATTTCCATACTCTCCAACAGGTTAACTTTTAAACCTTTCTTCTAGAAAAGAAGGGGGGTGAATTCATGGTTGAACTCATGTTCCTCTGTGATTAAATGAGTGGCATATGTGTAGTTTATTTTTCCATTCTGGAAACTATTTCTGTGTTCCTTTATGCGGGCTTTGAACATTCTCCCAGTCTGACTTACATAAAACATCGGAAATGACCCACATGATATATTATACACTACAGATTTTTCTGAAACTTAACCTTTATCTTTGTTATTCATATTGTGCATGCCTAAGTTGTTGTTGGTTTTGAAAGCAATATTTACACCTGTGTTGTGTAGAAAATTTAAAATATTTGTAGTACTTAGGTCAACCCACTACGAATATTACTAGCAATTACAATATATTTATGGAAAAAATGTAAGTCAGTGATTATTTGTTTTCCCAAACATTTTTTACAACCATCATAAAGGAAATTGAACCATTATAAAATCGAATTAAAGTATTTCAGAATGCTGTTGATGTGTGGAAAAATATCTATCACTACACTTCTATCTGCGCAATCTAATATCTTTCAGTTGCAAATTGAAGATGAAATATGTTGTCTCTGTAATACCTTAATAACGGTTAATATTACATAATTATCTTGGTAAACAGAAAATATGTACTGATGGAAATTTTACCATTGTGAAATCAAATTAAATTAAAGTGTTTCAGAGTTCTGGTGATGAAAAAAATTCCTATTACTGAAGATGAAATATGTAGCCTCTCTAATACCTCAATAACGGTAAATATTAGTTGAAAAATAATATGTACTAATGCATATGAAGTACCATGAGTAAAGGGCACCTAATGAATATTCATGAATTTTATGAATAATTATCACTTATTTAGTTGATATCATTCTATTTTGAGAATGACCTTCACTGATTCAGAACAAGTTGCCATGATTTAACATATATTCTAATTGCTGGCTCTAATGAAAGGTGTCGGTTACTGAATTTATTTAAATTACTATTGATTTTAAGTTGGATAAGAAACTGGTTGTGACAAATTTTCATTAAGAGAATAAGGCAAAGATTCTTCAGCAACATGATCCTTTTTTGGCACCAAACAGTTTTGTTCCCAGAAAACATGCTGATGTCATGTTCACTTTCAACATACAAGAAAGTGGTCTTTTTGCCCAAAGAGTCTGACTTCAAGTCTATAGATGAGATAGGCATCTACTCCCTGTTATTGAATCAAGTGCAAGATATTTCATAAATCTGTCTCTCTCCAAATTCTTGAGCAGCAAAAGCAGAATCTGTATCAGGAGATGTAACAAACTGAACAATTAGCTCTCTCTCTCGCTCAAAAGCTTACCCTCAAACGATGAATCACCAAAACAAAAGGTGAAAAAACTCCAACATGGCTGAATGTAATGTATCATCAGGTCTACCTGATGCATACCTGATGCTCTACGAACGTATCTGCAGACTGATCGCCGATTAGATCCTCCTTATGCCACTCTTGGATTCATCAATACCTGAGTGCAGCCTAGCTTTGTACTAGAATATTGATCTGCTCATTTTGTTAAGGACTCAAATGGATATTACCTGCATACTGCAGATTTGTAATCACTTTCGCTTGGAAGAATGATTATCATCAACAGTATTGTGCATTTTGAGAAATTTACTGAGTCTTATTTTGATCAACTTTTCGATTATTTTCACTATAGTCAGAATGAGTGAAATAGACGTAAATTTAGAGGTATCTTGTCCTTCTACAACCTTGTGTAGAGGAATCACCACAGAAAGAGAGGAACACACCATTTCGAAATGAAATATTAATTAAACTAGAATTTCAATAGATTCCTCAGGTAGATTCCTAATTATTTTTATTGATATTTCGTCATAGCCCATGACCATTTTATTTTTAATATGCTTCATGACTTCAAGTAGTTCATCTACAATGGTACCTTCGAGTACGACATTTTCCAGGTAGATTGGTAGATCATACAGCTTAATATGTTAATAACAGGCTAAGTTTCTTTTATTTCAATGCTAGGTGAGTTAATTATATTGTTGTTGGAACACATCAACGAAGACAACTGTTCTTGGTGACTCAGGTTGGGAGTGCATAGTTTGCAGTTGGACCTTCTAAAACCAATGTTGTGTTTTGTTAAATATTCAATGCTAGAAACAATTCTTTCAAGTATTTCATACTAATGTTCTTTTTCTTTCTGTATCGTGTCCCTTTGTTTTTCATCGATAGTTAATGCTTCAGCTAACTGTATCTCTCAATCCACATACTTTTCAACAATATGATTATCAAGAGCCTTTTCAATGTGTGTATTGTTATACCCTTCACTGGCTAATATGCAGTACTATTACCGTACAATATACAGCTAAAACAAAACACCTACTTTTGCTATGAACTAACCAACTCTTAGGTACCTATTCTCTGTTGACCAAACTACTTTTGTAATAAAAATATAGTTTTCCTGCATTTATAGAAAAAAAATACACTCGCACTTTTTTCAATTGAGAATGTGAAGAAAATGTGTCTGGACATAGACCAGGATCATGAATATCTGAAAGTAACCCCTCAATTAAATTATATGAAGGATTTCATGAAGCTGTTGTTCCAGTTTCAACCGCATCAGAGGTAACAATACTGATATCTTCATTTGAAGGTTATCGTTGTTACTAGTTAGATTTTTCGTACTTCAAAAATAGCTTTAACAACTGTACTCTTTACAAATATTAACTAACCAAAAAAAAATGTCAAAATTCCCTTTTTTCATCAACAAAAATATCTAATGGTAACAGCTCCATATTCAATGGTAACTCTAGTTACACTCATTATATACTGTAGCAATATTAGGAGCAATAAAGGAGCTCTTAATTTTCCAGATACATAAAAAAATTATCTCCATAGGTTAATGATTCTTCTAGAGAATAAATAGACATAATCTTTAGCTTCTGAATGAACAAAAGTTGACACATTGCTCCAGTAGATCTGCATTCCTCTTGGCACATACACAAAAAAAAATTCCAACATAATTTTCTTAAAATTTTCACTTAACTCCTTCAGGGCAGAAAGGCTCAATTTGTGAAATTTTAATGTAGCAGGCATCTTTTGAGGATCTCATTTGAAGTTATTCCTTGTTATTGATATAACTAGAAATATAACTAAATAATTTTTGAACTAAATATAAAAATATGTAGCTAAGTAAAGAATCATAATAGTGTCATTAAGTGAAGCCACAAATGGCGTACATATTATACACAACAAATACAGCCATGTTAATAAAATTGAAGCTTCAAATTTCTAAGCTCATACAATCTTAGGGTTTCCAGTGTAGAACAAATAATCGTTTGGAAACAATTTATTTTATCATTATGATGACTTGAGTTTCAAATGAATAATTTACAATATTACAGCTTCCTCCCGGAAAAAATGTAATAAAAATATAATAAACCATAACAATTGATTGTATAATAGTTTAAACTTACCTTTTTTATGCTATAGATATAAAATGTAACGACATATGCAAAAAATAATGTGGCCCCTACTGTATTCACTAAAATAAGGGATCGATCTTGAATTAAAAAACCATAGCGTAACCATAAACTTGTAGAAATACAGCCGCTTACAAAGGGAAAGGAAGATATATCTCCAGTGCTTTTATTTTGTACAAATTTTTGACAAGTGAGGCTGCAATTGAGAAAATCAAAAACTCGTTGAATATTTCATTAGTAATATACTCACGTCCCAGTCAAAAACTGTAGAATTGTGCATATTGACGCTGTTGTAGCTAATATGTTTTTGAAATCAGCGTCACTCATACTTATTACAGTCATTTTTAATGAAAAATGTGTAAAGGGTCGTCAAAATATATTAATGACAATTATTCACATGTTTCTTCAATTACTTTCGTTTCATTTATAAAACACATTTAACCTCTTCCAACTTTTGAAGTTTACTTCCCATATTTTGAAGTATTTACATTTTTGAAGAAAAATGTACACATAAACAGAAATCTGACAATACGCATAACCCCACTTTATAAGTTCGTTCGTTTGTCAAAAATTGAAAGATTAATTCTATGAATTAAGAAGTCTAAAGTATTAAATGTATGACAATTGTTATGTCTCAATTCCATACGTGTTATAATTCATTTTCGCAAAATGAGTTTTTTTAAACTTCATTCAATTTGTTACTTCTGAGTTACTATCAGAATAAGTTGTGGCAGAAATATGACTTGAAGGGTAAAATCGGAACCTCTGACGTAGAATAAATCCAAAAACAATCATTTTTTCATTAATCACCAGGGCGCAATTTTCGCGTTTTCAGGAGAAGAAATATGACTTGTAACTGGTAACTTGTTTGATGACTAGTGAGGAAATGACTGATACAATATTTGGGTGTGCAGCAGGCCAAAACACATATTATATTATCAATGCAGCTATGAATGTTGTGGTGAAGTACATAAGCCAAAAGATATGTGTTCGGTTACATTTAGTTGGTTAATTAAATCATTTAGTGTTTCAGAATATCAGCCGAGATTGTCTTTTGTAATATCCAAATCGTTGAAACGTTTCTTCAGCTTCAGCTTCGGAAGGTTGGATTTATCCAGGAAGTTGTTGGAACAGTTGTATTGAAACTGGCTGAGATCCATTCAAAACATTAGAAAAATTTGAAAATCAAGCATCCGATTGGAACTTAATTTTTTCAATAAAGGCACCGCATTCAGTTTCATTTATTATTTACGTTTTCATTTTTTTTCGGGACAATTTTATAGTCATGAGCCCTTTCAATGTTATGTTTCTTCCAATGTATATTAATCTGAACTAATATTATAAATGTGTAAGTGTGTGAGGATGGATAAATGTATGTATGTATATTAGTGGCTCTTTCACGCCTAAACGACTGAACGGATTTAAATGAAACTTTACATAAATACACGTTATACACCAGAATAACATAGGCAGGGCTGTAGCGAAAAGAAAAATCAGGGGGGGAGGGAATCCAAATTTTCCCAACTCCAGCAAAATTTCCCAACTTTCGAAGAAATGAAAGCCGAGGGATTAATTTGAAAGAAGTCTTCAACATCAAAATGACAACTTTTTGACATTGAATAATGTGAAATACTTTTTCAAATTTTTATTATCGTTCATTATGGGGATTTATACTGTGTTACTATTACTGAATACATCCTGTAATACATCGGTTGATTGGTCAAACCACCAACACTGACATAAAAACTTGGCAAGTTAACTTGGGTGTCACACCAATAGGTGGTTCCATTCATGTTTCGCTTGCGTTTACGCAGCTATTTTCATCAAGTACTTTCTTGGTTTTTCCTCATTTTGTCTTCAACCGAGGACCGCCTGCTCGGTACTGACGATGCCCAATAGGCTGAAACAGCTGTCTACCGGTGGCTCTTAAATTGAAATCAATATGGGAATGATTAAAGAATACTTATCTATTTCTTTTTTGATTTTCATGGAATTATTTTCCAGCAGCTGGACTGCATTAACCTTTCCAGATTATATATATATAGAACGGCTGTTACATTTATTTATTGGAGTGACATATCGCACCCGTAACTCGGGAAATGTTTGATTTTCAGCCAGAAAATTGACGCCATTACCTGAAATAATAAACTCCACCTTTAAACTGAAAATGTAGATGTGAGCGTTTGCATGACGTACTGTACCTGCTGTTTCATCCATTCCATTAACTTTTTTTTTCTGTAATGTCTAGTCATCCCATTTGGAAACGCTGTGAATATACTTGTCTATTCGACACGTCTCATCGATCTTTTTTTGCATGAATGGGAGGCATCAGCAGAAAATAGTGGCTAGCTCAGTCTAATCCAAAATTGTCGTTTATGTGTACGAGCTGGTAAAGGAAATCAATTCCAGACACTTTGAATGCTCAAGAATTACTATTTATGATTTGATTTTCATGTTAGTAGGTAAATAGCAGCACCGTAAAAGTATAGCTTTTTATGATATGAGTGTTTGAAGTAAGTTTTTATTTTCTGAGTGCAAAAGTTTACGAAATGAGCGTAGCAAGTTGAGCAATTTCTCGAACAAAATATAACTTAATTTAATTAGTAAACGTGCTATCAAATGTAGTTGAGGAGTAAAGGCTCGGCTAGCTGAATACTAATTTTTTGTCGTTTCACAATATTTCTTTATCAGTGCCGTGTGTTCGTATGGTTAGGTGAGGTAATGAGTGGTTTTGCAAACCGATTTTTGAATACTTTTTCTATTGATCAATTACCCTAACACCAAACTGTTATTTTTGCACTCGACGCGCGTTTCGCTAACAAGGTTAGCATCTTCAGGAGAAGAACTCTTTACTAAATTCTGAATCCTTGGTTCAGTGTTACTTAAACTTAAACGCGTATCAGCAGTGGCATCCAACCGATTTCGGTGCTTGTTTTCAATAATCAGATGCGCCGAAAACATAGATATGTCGAATAAAATAAAGTTAGGTTACGAATAGCAATGTCTCAGAAACTTTTACAATAAATGAATTGCGGATCAGTTTTTGAATACTTTTATACTCGCGGTGGGGAAAATAGTGATTGAATTCAATTTTTAAGTTTTTCAAATGTTTTTATCAATGCTGCAAGACCAGAGCGAGAACCAAGCATAGGAGGAGCACCATGCGTACAAAACCCCGCAAGTCGTTCCCACATAAGTCCATGTTTCTCCATATATTGACTTACTGCAATCATAACATCTGCACGTTTCAAGTTCTTGAGAAAATAGTAACTCTTCTTCAAACATTTTAGCGGCGGGTCGCATTGTATTGTGTCGACTCATCTAACATATTTATAAGGATGGCTCCGCGGACCGCTTGGGATGCTTCCAGGGACCACCAATGGTCCGCGGACCACCGGTTAAGAACCACTGTTGTAGATAATTGGATGTATACCCAGTCTTCAAGTGTCCCCACTGACTATATGTGAAAAGTTTTCATTCCTTATACAAGGAATTGGACAAATTCGGTTATGTGGTTGTTAAGTACCTCGTTTACCAGATGGGGCGATAACAACTATGTTGTTTGTCGTTCGCTCCAGCCTGGTTCGAGAAATGATTCTCTGAAAGGAATTCGATTTTAAATTATGGAATATCGTCGTTTCTATGTTGATGATGGTCACTACCTTGCACTAACGAGAGGCCAAATAGCTCGAAACCGGTCTGCAAGTGTGTCCGTTCCAGTAATTGAAAATCGATTCTGACAGTTGCATCGCCAACAACATATGAAGGAAATACTTTTGTGAAGAATCTTGCACTGATACCTGTCGGATATAATCCAACACCCTTCGTGGTATTAGCCAGGGGAGTAGTTGTTTTCTGATAGGGTTTAGTCCATTAACCTATAGTTTAGGTGAGTAAAGACTGGCCTGATCAAATTGTTCTTGTAGATAATTGTATTAGAAGTTGTTTTACAAGTACCACATACAGCAAAGGAGGATTAGATAGCGGACATTCTCCTCAAACCATTGAGCAAAACTTGTTCTGAGAAGCTCATAGATCATATACTCATTGTAGTTGATATGAACTCTATACATTTTTATGTGATTGTTACAGGTTGTTGATTTCAGTTAGGTTTATCAAGTATTCAATTCTGTCAGTGATGTTTAATTTTGTATCTTGAAGTTCATTGGAGTTGTTTTCCAAAATTTGCTACAAGTAGTAGCAAATTTATACACGTGTTGAATATATCTCTATTGTTCTACTTCGAAATGATTGTCATAAATATATTTTTGCTTTATTAGTAGCGGTTACTGGTTTCAATTCTGTAGTTTATATATTAAAATCTCCTTATTACGAACATTCAGATGCCTGCAAAAATCATCACAGTGTCATGATACTCTGATGTGATTTTTTCCTTTCTGCAAAGTATTGATTTTGGGATATTCAGTTCTCAGTTAACTTTCTGAAATTGATTATGTCAAATTTAGTTCAACATTTTTAATTATTATATGAATACTTTTTGAAAATATCCCCCTCTGATGAATTTTAGAAAATGAAGGTATTCAATCAGAGTACTGCAGAAAACTCTTGGTTTTTCCTAGAATGCATTTTGAGAATGTATCAAGAAATCTTTGGAAGGATTTTGCTTGTTCCTAGGCACTTAACTGAAACACTGTGTGGCTACTTGTGGTATCTACCATTATAAGTTCCTTAACACCACCAAAGACATAATGGATAATACAGATGTCAAACCCAATGTGTTTCGTGTACTTGCCTTGGACTGAAAAAAAAATTATTGATATAACTTCTTATAAGTTATTACTTGAGACTAATGACATAAGACTGATGCATAATTCCTCATGAATCATCTCTCAATTAGTGACAATAAGGACGAGTCTTCCATAGATAACTTTGAACTTGACAGTAGTCTCTCACAGTTCATCAAAGCTGTGGACTCAGTTGAAAACGCCTTTATATATCTGTAGAAATCCAGAACACATTCTTTGTCATACTGCTGATCATGGTAGATCAAAAGATTGGTTGGGATGGTTACAATTTTTATAGAATAAATAACTGAATACATAAACAACAAAACAAAATTTCAAATGTTCACCTATAATTGCAAAAAATTACATTATAACTCCATTCAGAAAATTTGACAAAGAAAACACTATCTCAGTTGAATATCATTTTCCTAAAGAAAGTATGGACGTAATAATATCAATTTAACCTGGAATTTTAACTTAACAAATTATATAATTCAGATCGAAACCTATTGCTCCGAATAGAAAAAATATGTCCTTTCCATTAACGAAAGAATTTTATGGCCTTTCATGATGAGAGAAAATGATGAATGAATAGAGATCAGTGTTAGGTTCCAAACAGCAACAGAAGAAGGCAACATGATCTAGTGAATAAATATTATACCTCAGTCTAGGTGTGTTTACTTTTGGGGTACTGAATAAATTCATCGAATACAAAATATGCCACTTATTTAAAAGAACCTGAAAGCTCAATGTACAGTATTTCTGTGAAATAGGGTAGTGGAAGTGGCCGCGGTGGTAGTGCGTCCGACTCACGATCGGAAGACCGTGGGTGACCAACCCCTATTTTTTAATAGACATTTTAGTAATTTCATCAATTTTCATCCCGCTCGATAACTGATCAATTATCGTCATTTTTCGTAAATGTTTTTCACTCTATTTCGATTAAAATTTTCCTACGTAAAATTACCGACCGATTTCTGCACAATCGCTGATTCGCAACATACTCTCATTGAACAAATATTTCCTGATGTACACATGTACAAATCATGAGTGGCTTGCAGGAAGAGCAATTTTAGCGGCAAAAAATGTGGACGTTGACAATTTAAATCTAAAGATACAACAGTTGTTGCCAGGGATTTTGGTATCATACAAATCTATTGATACAGTTTGCGATGTTAGCAAAGCTGTAAATTTTCCCAAAGAGTTTTTGAACTCACTGGATTTGCCAGGCATCCCACTGCATAATTTACAATTAAAGGTTGAATCTCCGATTATCTTGCTTCGGAATTTGAACCCGCCACGGCTGTGCAACAGTACGTGATTAGTCATTCAAAAATTATTGAAAAACGTTATCGAAGCCAGCATTTTAAATGGCAAGTTCCGAGGTGAAAATATATTAATACCACGGATTCCTATTATGCCTACAGATGTGCCAAATCAATTCAAACGTATTCAGTTTCCAATTAGATTGGCATTTGCAATGACCATCAACAGATCCCAAGGCCAAAAGATATCTATTTGTGGGTTAGATTTGAGCACACCATGTCTTTCACACGGACAATTATACATGGCATGCTCTCGAGTTGGTAAACCATCCAGTTTGTTTGTGTTAGCTAAAGATGGGCTAACAAAAAATATTGTTCACGCTATAGCATTAAGAGATCGATATTATTTGTTAGTGTAACTGTCATAATTAATTAATGATATATAATTTTAAGAAATAAACTATAACTTGAAAATAATAATGTTTGGCGTTTGTTATTTTTATATTCCCTCATCGTTCACAGCACTCCATGCCTATTTCACGCATATACCACATCCTTACACAGAATAAGTTAGTTATTTCTTGTCTACACTAAAAATTACCTAGAAATAATTTACATAGCAAAACAACGTTTGCCGGGTCAGCTAGTTTTGTTTAAAATCTCACAATATACTTACAATTATATAATAATTGCATCTATCCCCCTTACAACATTCCGAACATTTCCAATCCTGATACCATATGTGTGTACAAGTAGGCATATTACTACTTCTGTATTTCGCACATTTATCTTTTGTCGAACATCTTTTCGATATGTAGTACTGTTTCAATGCACCTTGTTGCCAATAAGGTGTACTACCCCAACTTATTTCAGACAGACAAACATCTTCCCCATAATTACATGTTTGAATTGTGCTCACGCACTTCTCTTTATTGTTTTCTTGATTGTCGCAAACATAGCATTCTAGGGCTTGCCCTGTAATGAGTAATAGAAGTAATACAAGATAAGGTTATCTTCCAATTTATTACCTTTGGGTACCAATATGAATATAATAAAAAATAAGGCACTGATTTTCATCATTATAATTATTGTACTTTTATGAAAATATATGGAATAAATATACTACTTTAATATATAGACACGCCTTCTTCGTGAATTCAGCTCACATCAGCCAATTAATAACAAATACAAATTAAAAACATAGCGTTTTCCAACTAGTACCCTTGTTTCGCACTGACATTTCATGAGTCTGTCAAATTTCAATACTGGTGCAGTCAGTGCAGTCACCCAACAACACACTACCACAGCATAGGTATTACCTATGCTGTGATAATACTACAACAGAAAAGATCAAGATATAATCTACTTATTATTTGAATACAGTATGCCTACCATTTTTTCAATATTTTAAAGTGACAGGTTGATAATTTGATGTAAATAGGTAATCATTTTAGAAATATCACTTCAACATTAAATCAGAATGAACAATGAACACCATTGAATAAATCAAGAGCAAAAATTATATTGTCTATGATAATTCCCCATTTCTTCATATCAAAATATATCTCACTCTCTCAGCTGCTTTCAATAGTTTATTGCGATAATTGCGAATAAAAAACATGCAAGCTTTCAAAAATCAAAATGTCAACTGATTTTATGTCAACTAGCTGTCACTCGTTATTTCGCTACTATGTTAATGGTCAACTGTATTTATCAAAACCTAATATTTTCATATTTCCAATGGTAACAACGGCCGTTCGTACGTACTTCCCGGGCTGGGCCAGATAAATGCTACTTGATAAAAAAAAAGAGTTCGGGAAGTGGGTACTTCCGAGACGATTGCCGAAAAAATGAATTATTATAATTAGAATATTTGTATGCAATATTTACTTGATAGAAAAACAGAACAAAATCTTAAAAAGTCAATCAATATTCAGAGTTTATGAATAGCACATTAGTAAAAAAAAGAACTGTTTTCAGTACAAAATGTCAATAAATAACAATTTTCCAAAAACCATTTTTGTAAGAAATTACTAATGACTAGTAGTTGCACATTTTCAAGGTCATGTTTTTTTTTTCTATGTTTTCAGATAGTCCTCTTCGTAGTCAACTCTTTGTTCAGGAGTTCTGTAATGAGCACTTTAAACTAAATGAATAAAGGTTTTGGCTTTCTAGTTCTCCATATTCAAACAGAAAATGTGGTAAACCTCCACAGGAAGAAAGAAAGCAATTAATTTAAAAAAAAACTTGTCACAAAGACGTGTAGAAAATGCACATAAGTTACTTTCAGATACAAACTGAACCAACTACTGTCTTATAAACATTGAATTGCATTAAAGAAACAACTCCTTTCATGTGAATATTGAATTATAAAGTGTATTATTCAGTTTTTTTCCTATTCAGTTTGTTCTTCAAACATTCATTATGGAATTGAATCAGATATCATTCATAGAAAAGCTACACAATATAGTGTATGAAAGACAGAAATTATATCATTCTCACGGGCAAAATTCAAAATTATGTAATGTAAATGATATGGCGAAGATACCCTAAACCTCTCTTATTGATCTCAGCGGCAGCGGTTTGATATAGCAATAACTATCTACCACTTTCAGTGGTGAAGCGGCTTTAACCACTAAGAGTTTGTGAACACTAGCATTGTGATTGTTGTATGAAAGTGTAAAAGGGTTATAATAATTATTATTCTTGATATTTTCCACTTCAAATATGGATTTATGTTTTTAGTCGACTCAGAAGCTCCGAAAAATAATGTGGTGGATTATAGATCATATGTTGATTATAATCACGGGAACTAAATTCCAACTGTCGCCTGACATTCGCGATCGATGATATTTGACAATTTGTTGTTTTGATTTTTGACTTTGACAATTACACAAGTACCCAAAGAATTTATAAACAGTAAACAACACTACCAATTTCAATACCTATTAGTAGGACAACAGCATATGATACGATACCGCTGTAATTTATTACTCTTGTATATACTCAAATAAAGAAAAGATTTTCAAGTTCCTATTAAAATGAATTAAAAAAATCTATGGAAGGGGTTCTGTGGAAATGGACAAATTATTGGAATGGTAAGTTTTGAGAATTCATTAAAATAGAACATGGTTTTTGTACATTGTGTATACAACAGGCTGGCAGACAAGGTGGTTCGTTTTGGAGAATGACATATTATCCTACTACAAGTCCCAAGATGAAGTTGATCAGGGCTGTAAAGGATCTATGAAAGTACAGGCTTGTGAAATAAATGGTACGTTTTTCCCAGAGAAACATTTAGATTAACATATTTTTATCACAACTTATTAATTGAGTTTATAAAATTACTGCAACATCTTTTTTTTCATTATAATGAATAAGGAAGTAACTATATTGTTGAAGTCCCAGTTCTAGTAAGTTGAAATTACAAATATTCTAAGATAAATTCATAACAAAATTTATCATTTATCTGCTCCTCTGAAAAATTTTGAGCCGTTTTTTCAACCCCACATTCTGAATATGTCAGTTATGGCAGGTTACGTTTTGCAATTGAAAAAGTTATTGTCTTAATTTTTTCCATTTTTAAATGAATTGTGTGTGAATTGTGCGACTGTCTCTCAACGCTCATGTCGCTAACTAAGTTGGCATCATCAGGAGACGACTGAGGTGAATCATCATCTTACATAATGAGGGTCATTAAATTAACTTCTAGTATTTTGTTATTGTTCCTAATGCTATTTACTACCTGATTGATACCTGTGCTTTACCTGTTTGGTACCTGTAATTACATAAGAGTACGAAGAAAGAGATATTAGGAATCGGACCATTCATACATGTCATTCCACATCTTTCGATTTCCAAAATTTCAAAGACAATTAAAAACTTCATCTGATCTCATTCGATATTTCTCGATTTCTGAACTTTTGAAGGCATCTAAAAACTTGTTATCATGACAAGATTATTTAAAATGATTCCATAAAAATTCGATATGCATGAAAAATAAATGATAAGTGATTTTTGTGATATGATAAAAGTGCACTAAATGAAATCTTCATTCAAAAGTTGAGTTTTATAAATGATACTGAGACATAGTATAAGTCAATTAAAAAAATTTCTGAACTTTTGAAGGCATCTAAAAACTTGTTATCATGACAAGATTATTTAAAATGATTCCATAAAAATTCGATATGCATGAAAAATAAATGACAAGTGATTTTTGTGATATGATAAAAGTGCACCAAATGAAATCTTCATTCAAAAGTTGAGTTTTATAAATGATACTGAGACATAGTATGAGTCAATTAAAAAAAGTTTATGAGGGAAGGGAGAAAATGAATTTCTTTGAACTTGTATAATATAAACTCCGATCTTCGTAGTTTTTGTTATCTATGTATTTGATTTTAGTAGTTCCTTTTGATAATACAAGAATGGATCTGGTCATACCTGGTGAACAACACTTATATTTACGAGCAGCTACTTCTACAGAAAGGCAACAATGGCTGGTTGCACTGGGGAGTGCAAAAGCTTGTGTTCACAGAAATGGTACACTGAATGGTGAATATTTATAAAGATTTGTCCCTCTAATACTAAAATTCAAAAATACCTAACCTTTCAGTTGATTCAAATCCAGATGCTCTGAAAACAAAAAAATCTGAGTTAAGATTGTATTGTGACTTACTGATGCAGCAAGTACATGTTATTAAAAATGCTGCACAAACACATGATCCTGGTATTGAGGTAAGTTTTTGATTGATAATGCTCAAAGTTGGTGGATTTAAAATACATGATGTAGCTATCTTTCATGTTTGATAGTTCGTACTGGAACCTCTGACGTAAAAAAATCTATTGAAAACACTTTCCCAACACGAGACCAAAAAAAAAATTAAGGTTCCTTGACGCGCGTCTCGCTAACCAAGTTAGCGTCCTCAGGAGATCATTACGATCTCAGGAGATCATTATGATCTCCTGAAGATGCGCTACGTGAGACTGTAATTTTTTGTTTTTTCTTTATATGTAAAACCCAATTTTTGAAATTTTGTAATTTTTTTGAAGAATTTCGGGTCAAATATCCAAATTTTTCAAGATTCTTTGTGTAAAACAAGCCTTATGAACTGTTTGTGCCCACGTAATATAATTAAATATGCTGAGTGTTGATTATAAAAAATGTTTAACATATTTTATAGTTCCCAGGTATTTTTGAAAAACTCTAAGGTTGAAAAATAATGCAGACAATGTTTATTGATATGGACTTCTTTGTTGAAACTGGCTTTTGAAAGTACTAAGCTGGAAATTTTCTGATTAGTTATTTTATTTAATTATTTTTGGAATATTTTGTCATTCAAAAGGGAAATTCATTTCAAATAATCTGAAAATAACCCCCCAATTAAATTAAAAAATATCAAAACTTAAAATTTCATGCCAGTAAGGTATCATTTCTCCATTTAAATTGTTTTTATGATCATAATAAAGCAATTAATACATATTCAATGAATTCGATGAAATCAATGTCTTCATAATAAATTGCTCTCCAATATGTATACAATATATCTTTAAAACTTCTAAATCATTTGAGCTATTCCTAGTTTTTGACTTCTCATAATTTTTTTCATAGTTCTGCTTCAGTAACAAGCTGTTTACAATATCCACAAATTTTGTAAAACTGCAGCACCACTTAGAAATATGAATAAAAATATTCCAAAGAAATATTATTTATTCATTCGAGATTACATTATCACAACATATCTGAGGAACACAATGTTTAATGAATGAATGACTGCTTCAGCACTTCGTAATATTATTTATGAAATAATCTTGGGGAAGTTATACAAATTATGAGTTTATCAGTCAGAAAAATAGATATTTCCATTTATATCTTTGATAATGATATCAGTTTCAGACAGTTTGTTCATGATTCCACTATTGCTATCTCGGAAATTGTATGACTTACAGGTTGTTTGAAATAGACAAAAGTTTCCACTTGATAGTTTTACTAAAATGCAACACGTGCTTCGCTATACAATAGCTTTTTCAGGCGCCTGAAGAAGCTATTATAAAGCAAAACACGTGTTGCGTTTTTGTGAAACTGTTATCTCACGAAGTGTTTCTTGAATACATAATTGATTTTCATTCACAAAAGATGCTAATTTGAGGGGAAAATAAAAATCTTCCTTCAAATTGCAAATATCCATTGCCATTTTTGGGATATTAGCAAAATACTAAAATAATCGGATTATGTTTGTTGGCTATATGAATATGAGGTAGCGGACCCTTTTTGTACTGTTCATGTTTGTTATGATTTTGTGCAAAACGATTTTCAATGCAGCGTTTCGTTCATTAGATCCCATCATTAACTTTTTTTATTACGAACATCTAGTTTGAGTAATCAATTTTAGTAGCCACTATCGAGAAATTCAGTCATCTATCACAATACTTGCCATTTCTTGATGTTTATCTTCAGAAAAACATCATCAGAATCAGGTCATACAATTTCATGGCAAAGTTCTGAGGGAAATTTATTATATTTTGAAGAATCTCCAGAAAGAAGAACTGATTTTTCATGTACTCGTATACTTAAACAGTTAAAATACGTTTCCAAAAATATTTTGTGACTCGAAACGTAGGAAAATACCTTTGCCACTAACAGGATCTTGGGAATAATATAATCAATAGTATTGAGATGTTTTAATACTTTAAGACAAATTCGCTATCTAATATTTCTGCAATAAATGTGGAAACTGGTCTCTTATAACAAATCAAATAAGTCTAATGATTTATTTGTATCTCAAGGAGAGATAGAGAGATGTAGATATTTATTAAAAAAAACTTTTCAAATTCAAAACATTCAGTGCTCCCAACGTTCCTACTCAATAAGATCTGGCAAATACCTGTCGAAAAATAACTACTACTTTCTCTGATAGCACGACGGATATTGATTTATATACGATAGACATATTGGATATAATTAAATGCCTGTTGCATTACTTAACAGGCAAGGTATTTGCCAGCTTCGAAAATTTTGGTAAATTGGTAAAGGAGAATGTTTCAAATTGTTTTTTGAAATGTATTTATTTAGTACTCTCTATGAGTTTTTATTAATGAAGCACTACCAAACAAGTAAACCATTGGTTACTTTCTTATATTTATTGAGAAACCGTTAACGAAGGTTCACAAAGCCTGCATTTCACATTGGTTACCATATGCTATTGGTTATAATTAGCTTTTTTTTACCATAGTTCATTTCAAATATTCTTAATCCATTATTTGAAGTTTCATTATTTCCGTTTTATTCTATCATGTTATATTTTCGAGTTTTCAAAACACCTTCTTCGGCTTGTTTTTTTTTTTTCAGTAACATCGATTTAATTGTTTGGTGTAAAAATCATTAAATAGTTGTCGTATTCAAATCATATTTAAATTTCATTCTTACATATTTAGACTGGTGTATTTATAATGCGAAAATTTTAATTGAGTTTATGAACCAAACGCATTAAATTTGTAGTAGGAGGAATAGGAGTAAGAGTAGCAGTATGAGTAGAAATAGCAGTAGGAGTAGGAGTAGCAGTAAAAATAGCAGTAGGAGTAAGATTAGCAGTAGAGGTGAGAGTAGGAGTAGGAGTTGGAGTAGGAGTAGTAGTAAAAGTAGTAGCATCAGTAGTAGTAGTAAAAAAAAATAGATGTCTGTATTGAAAAAAAATTGATAATGGAATCCAGTAAATGAAACCGCATTTTATGAACACTGAAGGGTACAAAAATTACTTTGTTCATATAAAAGTAGTTGTTTTGAAAGTATATATCTTTCGTGTAATTCAAGTAGCTGATTGGAGAGGACTTATTTTTCTTCCAGTTTGTGTATGAAAATTACTTCTTTGCATGATCTATACATCTTTGTATAAAGTTAATTCTATGAAATTGATTGAATTCCTCCTTCCTTTGGAGATTTCCACATGTTTTTGTATAAAGATTCTTTCTTTCCCAAAAATTATCTCTCACAAAAATATACCTTTTTCAATTTATTTATGTAATTCTTCAACTGAAAAATAGTTTAATGATAAATAAATGATTTGAGAAGAATTACATAAATTACAATTACTTAAAAAAAAATTGACATTTAGTACATCACCATTATTGGATTTACTTTTGATCCTATTTAGAATATCAGTTGTACTAATCTTTCTTGTTTCTCATCATGTCATACAATTTTTCAAATAATGCAAGTAAATATATCTCGGAATAAAGGGGGAGTTAGTTATGTTCTTAAAGAAATAATAAGAAGACGGTCTTCTTCGAGAAGAATTGAAGAATTGTACCAACAGATTGAGATATTTTAAAGTTGTAGAAGGAGCTGAGGCAGTTTTCAGTATGAAATTATCCCGGTTTTGGGTAAATAGAAACTTTTATCTCTCAACATTATTTCGAAAATATGTGTGCATAAACAAGAATAAATAAAAATAATTTCATAAGGTTTCTTAGCTGAGAAACTTTAATATATATTCGGTTTTTTTTTCAGAAAATGGATGAATCTACTAGACTTTTGGGTGCTACATGTGATACATTTATTAAGACTTTGGAAGAATGTATGTCGTTAGCTAATGCCAATATGGTTTATGGATTAACAGTGAAGAACGAAACTATATTACCTTTACCCAATACCAATTCATCCATTCGAAAGGTAAATCACTTTTTTAATTTGTTATATGTTTATATAGTTTCAATTTTCTACTTCAAATTTCAAGTGAAATTGTTGTTTTGGATATAAATATTAATTTATATTCAATACCAACTATAAGTCATTTGACACAGCATATCTTAGTTTCAACTAGAAATTATATAAAATAATCATTTGAAATCATTTTCTCACTCATAGAATTCATTTCAGTGAACCCTCCATTACTTCGTTCTTTGAAAAAAATCAAACTATGGAAATTGAAAAACTAAAATCTCTCAAAATTTTAACAAAACCATCACAACAGACAACTAGAATAAACAGCTACTCTAACAGAATGATTTTCAATTACATGTAACAGACGGTAGTTACTGCTTCTATCAACCGATATGTGAATGTCGTTGGCTCGATTCCAACTTTGAAATTTTCTATTTTCACTGTGTATCATTTGATCTGTTCTGGGAATCACAATTTAAAAGATAAAATCTTGTTAATCCTCAGTTCGCACAAGTTTCGACTTTTGAGAGTTGTCGCCCCTAAGGAGGCGACTGTTGGTTCATATATAGAAATAGAAATAGGTTTATTCATCACTAAAATTTTCACACATACATAATTACAAGACTAAATACGTGAGAAAACTTATTGGACTAGTCAAAAGTAAAACGCTAAAAGCAAAACAAAAATGTTTGATCTTGAACAAACTTAAAAGAGAAGACTACATGTATAAAATAAACTAAGTCATTTATCTAAGCACTAAAAGCAAGAAATTTATCCATACTGTAGAAGCAGTTATCCAACAAGAAATAATATAGTTCATTCCTCATTACAGGTCTATTTTTATTGATCCCTATAAAAGTTGTTATTTTATTGAAACATTTTGACTCACACTCAAGCGAGAGTATGGGTGATATAAAGTATGTTCACCCCGAGTAGCGTAATTATGTATATCAGAGTTTTTTGGATATATGTGTTTATTATCATAGATAAATAACACTAGCTGTAATATGTATAAGCACGGCAATGGTAGGATGTTGAATTTTTTAAACAGTGGTTTACAAGAGTCCACTGAACGAGACTTGTCCATACAGCGAATGACTCTTTTCTGAACCTTAAAAATGCGGTCAGTATATGCAGAGTTACCCCAGAAGATCAATCCATACTGTATTCTTGATTGTACCAGTCCAGGCCTGATCAAATTGTTCTCGTAGATAATTGTATTAGAAGTTGTTTTACAAGTACCACATACAGCAAAGGAGGATTAGATAGCGGACATTCTCCTCAAACCAATGAATCTTTAACACATATATTTTGTATTGTTAAATCAGAGAAAATATTATCAATACAATTATTAATTCTTGGTTCATTGACAAAGTGTCTTATATTGTAACTAGCTAGTAGGTTTACGAGTTCTTTTTTGTCTAATAGAAACTCATTTTAACACATAACACAACATATAATCGAAATTGCATCCAATTAGAACCTCGTATTCTCGAATTATTCGTTTGTGAATGAAATATAAAATGTTCCGAATAGAAATTCATCAGTTAACTGTTTCAAGTACTATGCATTCTCCTATCACTACTTAATTTGTGTCAGTATATCTGATTCCCCCTATGTAGAATTCATCTTTGGTGCTATTTAAGATTTAGGATTGATTTCCACTTGCAAAGAAATTGAGACATGTCTGGACCTGAAATGAAATTCTTGGTGTTTGGGATTTATCAACGCATATTAAAAAAAAATTATTCCTATACATTGAACATGCCTGACGAAGCTATTATATAGTGAAACTATTTAGTGAAAATCTCACAGTAGTGTTGTGAAATAACTTACCTTGAATTTTCATTAATTATCAGCCAGTTGCTATTATGAGATGATTCGTTGAGATGATGCATAGTTCTATGCCTGTGGAATTGCTCGGATAATTTTTTGGACTGTTTCGGGAGTGTTTTGGTTCAATTTGAATTCGTTTAGAAAAATCACTTAACAACATCATATAGTAATGAGCTGATGAGAGGCAAAAAATAAAAATTTGGAAAAAAATGAACACTATCAATGTATAGAGTACATTTTCTATCGATCAGTATATACCACGACTCAGTAGAATAAATAAGAGATAAGGAGCTAAAAAACACATGAACGGCCAAACTTGCGAAACAACCTAATATTAAATGAAACACATTTTCCAGGAATGAAGAAATTTCTCAACAGAGTAAAAAGCATTTGCTAAAAAATTATTTAGTTGAGCTCTCTTCCACTCATTATACGTTCTTATATTTCCAAGTATTTCATATGTTGAAGCATTTCTCTGTGTTATATTCATGTATCATATTGTGTCTTACACAGTGAGTCTTATGCTTTTTTTATGTTCAAAGTTATGATTTAAATATACAAACATCGAAAATACAATTTGACTGTACTATGACTAGGATCCATATAGACATGCGCTAGGCCGATATCAAACTAAATACAACTACAAATCAAATGCGTTGTTTTCAAACGCTTACTGGAGGAGTGTAAGTGTCTGTATGAGTTATAGACGGTAAGAAAATCAACAAACTCCACTCATGGATAATGTAGCTGTGTATGTGTATGGTTGTTATGTTATATGTTACTGACTGATAAGTTTTGATACTGTGCTGTACTGTGTAAACCTTCATGGATGAATAAAAATAATCTATCTATTCATTACAAATGAACATACAATTTTTTTTAATATATCAGTTAAGATATATGATTTAAATATACAAACATCGAAAATACAATTTGACTGTACTATGACTAGGATCCATATAGACATGCGCTAGGCCGATATCAAACTAAATACTACTACAAATCAAATGCGTTGTTTTCAAACGCTTACTAGAGGAGTGTAAGTGTCTGTATGAGTTATAGACGGTAAGAAAATCAACAAACTCTACTCATGGATAATGTAGCTGTGTATGTGTATGGTTGTTATGTTATATGTTACTGACTGATTTGATAAGTTTTGATACTGTGCTATACTGTGTATCATGGATGAATAAAAATAATCTATCTATTCATTACAAATGAACATACAATTTTTTTCAATATATCAGTTTAGATAATGTATTAGAAGTTGATGAATCGGATGAGTCGGATATAATCCAACGCCCTTTGTGGTATTAGTTAGGAAAGTAGTTGTTTTCTGATAGGTGTCACTCCATTAACCTACTGTGTAGGTGAGTAGAGTCTGGCCTGAACGAATTGTTCTTGTAGATCAGTGGTTCTTAACCTTATAGTCATGCGGGACGATTTGACAAACTTTCTGTCAGGCCATGGACCACCAAGTTGGTTAATTAGTTTGTAGTTAATATAAAGTACCTTACGATAACTACGAATAAATACAGTACAGTACAGTTAATAAATAGAATGGTTGTTCTAACTCATATATAAATAAAATACGCATAAAATTATTTAATGTCCTTTAATCATTAGGAGAAATCTGTAACAAAAATTGCATTATAAATTAATGCGATTTTTGTGGTTGCATACTCTTCACTAAATTCTGAATCCATGGTTCAGTGTTACTTAAACTTAAACGCGTATCAGCAGTGGCATCCAACCGATTTCGGTGCTTGTTTTTAATAATCAGATGCGCCGAAAACATAGATATGTCGAATAAAATAAAGTCAGGTTATGAATAGCAATGTCTCAGAAACGTTTACAATAAATGAATTGCGGATCAGTTTTTGAATACTTTTATACTCGCGGTGGGAAAAATAGCGACATAAGTCCATGTTTCTCCATATATTGACTTACTGCAATCATAACATCTGCACGTTTCAAGTTCTTGAGAAAATAGTAACTCTTCTTCAAACATTTTAGCGGCGGGTCGCATTGTATTGTGTCGACTCATCTAACATATTTATAAGGATGGCTCCGCGGACCGCTTGGGATGCTTCCAGGGACCACCAATGGTCCGCGGACCACCTGTTAAGAACCACTGTTGTAGATAATTTGATGTACACCCAGTCTTCAAGTGTGCCCACTGACTATATGTGAAAAGTTTTCTTTCCTTATACGAGGAATTTGACAAATTCGGATATGTGGTTGGTAAGTACCTCGTTTACCAGATGGGGCGATAACAACTATGTTGTTTGTCGTTCGCTCCAGCCTGGTTCGAGAAATGATCCTCTGAAAGGAATTCGATTTTAAATTATGGAATATCGTCGACTCTATNATATATTCCAATTCAACTATTATGTAGTATATTGTACATATTAACTTTTTTTTTTCAGAAAAATGTACTTAGAAACGATTTTCAAGAGTCGTAAAAGAGTTGTGAAGTTAACCTAAACATGCCAAACAAGCTGTTCAGCATTTTCCGGGCTTTGTCAGAAGTGGACGAACTATGGATTTGTTTGCTGTATCAGTTATAGTTTTTATTTGATGATAAAACTTGTTGAATGAATAGTAACTAAAATTATGTATTATTCTGTTTCACCACATATATATTTGTATGTTTTCATCTGGTATTTATTTTTTATATTTTTACAATCCAAAATGAATTCGAATATCTATTCCTGACAGTGAGGTATGGCAACAGCCTCTAAAATTTTATAAAATTTTTGATCATAGTCACATCGCCAAAGTATTGATGAATTATTAATTTATATCTATTCAATAAATGTGATATTTATATCTTATTGGTTGATGATTTCTCCTAATTACACCATTAGAAATTTAATAAATTTATTGACTGAACTGCTCAATTTTTCTTCATAATTTTTCCTTTTGATTTAAGAGTTATATTTACATGCTACTTGACTCTGAAATAAAATTAGTTTCACCATTTCCTAATGTGTGTGTGCGAATGTGGGCGTGTTTGCGAATGTGGGCGCGTCTGTGCGAGCGACGGCGACTGAGAGAGAGAGAGACAGAAATATACTTTATTGTCAAAGAAATCAAGTTCCTATTTACACAGCATGTCAGGAAAAAAATTGTTAAAGAGTGCTTTTTTAAATNATTAATGAGGAATCCAGATCAACTGTGCCGGTGGCTGACGCTCAACAGCAGCCAACGAATATCACTTCTATTCCATCAACGTTAAATCAGGCTGAGCAACCATGTGCTAGCCCTGTAACAAGTCAATCTCTTTTTTGTGGTCTGGAAATTGAACCAGAAATTATTCAGAGAGAAGCTGCCGCATCTTCAATTCCATTCATATCATATTTAGCACCGGAACCGCCTGCTATTCTGTAGACACACCGCCAGATCTATCGCAACTCAGTCCAATATTGATTCTACTAATGCTGTCTCCATTGTCAGTCCACTGCCCCAACAACTCATCTCTCAAAAAAAAAGACCGTTGAAGAACAAACAGCATTCTGTAATAATAACAAGTACTCCAAATAAAGCAGTATTTGAAAAAAAAAAGAGGAAAAGAACTGAAAAGGAGAATAAGACTAAGGCAATTAGGAAAAATAAGGGAAACTGCTGTGATAAAGGAAATTGTGTCAAGGGAAAATGTACCAAAGGTAAATGTATTAAAAAAAACATACCAAAGTTAAAGAGATTGAAAGTAAGAAGACTACAACCAGAAACACAAGGATCAGAAAGGCAACAAAATATTTGTTTAAAAGTGATGATGATGAAGACTCATCTATTGATCAAGTAGACGAAAATACTATTTGCGATGATGAGTCAGAATATTCTGAAGAGTATAATTTATGTGCAATTTGTTTAGATACTGGAAAATGTGGAGAGATGTACCGATACAGAAGTTGTGGAAACTGAGCCCATAAAGAGTGTTCTGCAAAGTCTAGATTTTTTGTTTTCCATTAATAATTTCATATTTTATCTCCGTTTTGTTCGAATTTGTTTTTATTTTAATTTGAGTTACTACTATTTTCATTGTGTTGATAATTATAATAAATAAGGTATCATTTATAGTACGTTTTTTTAGTAATTATAATGGCTCCCATTTCCCGTATGAGCGTTAAATGGGCTCTCATTAACCGCATTTATCGGGTAATAGGAGTGACTGACTTTTTTGTAAAACTGTGATTGTACCTTATCTACATGTCTGTAGTTGATTATAACTATGATTAAAGTGTTCTCTTATAACAAAGGTAAGATTTTATAATAAAAAAATACAAGAATTTTGACTAACGAGGTTTTTATTCAAACCTTCCCTTAGTAGGCTCCCATTGTCCTGTTCTCCCCTAACACCCTTGATTTAGTTACTGATAACGCCAACTAGGTTGGTGACACGCACGTTGAAAAATGTGTTGAATTTCTGTTGTGCGGGAATGTATCTTTATTGGATCATTTCTACGGTGAAAACTGAAACTTCGAACAGCAGTATAATATGTTTATTGTATAAGTCAAATTTCAATTTATTCTTTATGCCTTCGACGTAGCAAACTTCGTCTTGCAGAAAGTAGACGAGTGCTGGCTTCACTGAATTGATTTCCAAGAACGAGGGCGAGTGGGGACGAGTGAGAGCGGATGAAGGCGAGTGTGGACGAGTGAGTGCGAGTGTTGACGAGCGAAGGCTAGTGTGTTCGAGCGAAGGCGAACGTGCGCAAGTGATTGCGAATGTGTGCGAGCAAGGGCGAGCGAGGGCTAATGTGGACGAGAGTAGGCGAGTGATGGCAAATGAAGGCGAGGGTGTGCGAGTGAGGGCGACTGTGGATGAGTGAGGGCAAATGAGTGCGAGTGAGATCGAGTGGGGGCGATTGAAGGCGGTTGTGGACGACTGAGACAACTCCCGTAATGAAGACGACATCTATGGGATCAACAAAAAACTCCAACCATGAATATCAAAGGTGAACAAACAAAAGTAAGCAACTGTCGAGCCAAGTTCGACATTGACGATCGAATGATAAGTTGCTTTCTGTTTCTCTCTTTCACTTCACAATGACACCAGAGCCATAAAACATTGCATCAGTGGTATTGGATCACGAATGTAGGGGAACGCGGGGTAATGAGAGCGGTCGGGCAATGGGAGCAATGGTGATTGAACGGAATGCAGGCACATTTGCGCGATCGTAAGCACTCGGCTGCTTCCGTCAACTATCTGCAAACTTCGCATGACGCGCTCGAACCGTTAGTGCCATTCAATTAGTCACTAAGAACGCTTGTATGTTTTTCCCTCCACACTTTCAAGATATTGCCGATTGCCAGCATCAAGGTAAGCATGAAATTATATTCTTATTTCATTGTATTTATAATTCTTATATCCCTAGATTCGTTTACTAACAAGTCCAATTAGTTAAATTGTGATTGAGAATAGAATTGCATATTTATGTTATTACTTTTCAAAATGGGGGTCAGCGGCTAATGGTAGCCTAGCTAGGCTCTCATTACCCGACATAGCTCCCATTACCCCACTTAGTCATATAACAAACATAATGCCTTGTTTTTTTTGTTTTAGATAGTACAAACTATCTCAACAGACTGGCACTCCTTACAGCACTCTAAAGAAGAGATACACTTCAGCGAAAGCTGACGATAGTAGCTACAAAAACTCTCCTAAGCTGGGAGCCCAAGAAGAAATACTGGCTAACCATCTGCGGACTATGTCAAATAAGTTTTATGGTTTGATAAGAGAACGGTTTCGCAAAGTATGTTACAGTGTAGCTAATCAACTAGGTATCAAGGAACGGTTTAACCAAGTTGATCAAACTGCAGGAAAAGATTGGCTGGCTGGATTTATGCAGCGTCATCCAGATTTGAGTATTGGAGACTGAGATAACGCTTTTTTTCAATAATTTGGAGATATTGATAAAACAACATAAGTTCGAGCCTCAAATGATTTACAATGTAGACGAGACTGGTATAACGACCGTCCAGGAGACTGAAAAAATTATAGCTCCCAAAGGACAAAAACGCGTCGGATCTGTGACATCATGAGAAAGAGGTAAGACGGTCACAGTAATATGTGCTATGAGTGCGTCTGGATCTTTCGTTCCTCCGCTTATCATATTTTCCCAGCAACGTCACTCACCACAGCTGGAAGAAGATGGACCAGTGGGCTAAATGGCTAAATACATACACCAAACTTGCTACTGAAACACCCGTATTGCTAATATTGGATAATCATAACAGTCATGCTACTCTCTCGAAGCTTGGGAAATTGCAAAAAAAACAATGTCATAATTCTAACCATTCCTACCCATTCATCCCACCGTCTACAACCCCTTGACGTTGCATTTCATTCCCCGCTCAAAAGAGCTTATAACAAAGAGTGCAACTTGTATATAAAATCTAAAAATTTGATAAAAATTACTCCATACGACATTGCTGGACTGTTTAATAAAGCCTATACTAGAGTTGCTTTTATAGAAAAAGGAGTGTCGAGCTTTAAAGCAACGGGAATATTCCCAATGAATCCTGGAGTTTCTGCGATGATGACTTCATTAATGAGGAATCCAGATCAACTGTGCCGGTGGCTGACGCTCAACAGCAGCCAACGAATATCACTTCTATTCCATCAACGTTAAATCAGGCTGAGCAACCATGTGCTAGCCCTGTAACAAGTCAATCTATTTTTTGTGGTCTGGAAATTGAACAAGAAATTATTCAGAGGGAAGCTGCTGTAACTCCATCTTCAATTCCATCCACATCATATTTAGCACCGGAACCGCCTGCTATTCTGAAGACACACCGCCAGATCTATCGCAACTCCGTCCAATATTAACTTTAATAATGCTGTCTCCATTGTCAGTCCACTGCCCCAACATTTCATCTCTCAAAAACAAAGACCGTTGAAGAACAAAAAGCATTCTGTAATAATAACAAGTACTTCAAATAAAGTAGTATTTGAAGAAAAAAAAGAGGAAAAGAACTGAAAAGGAGAATAAGACTAAGACAATTAGGAAAAATAAAGGAAACTGCTGTGATAAAGAAAATTGTGTCAAGGGAAAATGCACCAAAGGTAAATGTATTGAAAAGAAACATACCAAAGATAAAAAGATTGAAAGTAAGAAGACTACAACCAGAAGCACAAGGATCAGAAAGGCAACAAAATATTTGTTTAAAAGTGATGATGAAGACTCATCTATTGATCAAGTAGACGAAAATACTATTTGAAATGATGAGTCAGAATATTCTGAAGAGTATAATTTATGTGCAATTTGTTTAGATACTGGAAAATGTGGAGAGATGTGGTACCGATGCAGAAGTTGTGGAAACTGAGCCCATAAAGAGTGTTCTGTAAAGTCTAGATTTTTTGTTTTCCATTAATAATTTCATATTTTATCTCCGTTTTGTTCGAATTTGTTTTCATTTTAATTTGAGTTACTAATTTTTCTATTTTTTGTTCTTCCTGATATTTCGTTTCTGTTTCTTCATTGTTACCTGAAATTCGAAATAATGAAATATACTATAATTTTACACCTTTTCTGGTTCAACATTTATTTTCATATTCTTGATAATGATTTGCAAATGAGCCCTGATGCCTGTTCAAATGCTGGTACAATCCTTGAGGAAATATCGTGTTTTGAATAGTTGCAAATTTGAGGTTCAGAATATGGGTATGTCTAAAATCATTACTTAGTACTGTTCTACGAATCGTGAGGCATTTAACAATCCCTTTCAAAAAAATCATAAATTGGTGATGAATTATCGTGAAAAGGTGGCGAGAGGCTTGCGAAAAGCATGGGAGATTTTAATGCGATCGAAGCTTCGTGTTATTTACCATGATGCAGCGTAAACAGCTGGAAGAATGATCGCGAGTATTTGATTGTGGTATAAAAACATGAGACACTCGCTCAAATATTATATTAGTTCATAGTTTTTGAAATCAATGAATTAAAAAGAATGAAAAGGAGAGTCAAGGCAGGGAGCGAAACTAATTTGTGCAATAAGAAAGGATAAACAGAATTTGCTAAAAGAGTTAAAGCAACAAGAAATAAAACCAAGAATAAGAAAAGAAAAGAATATCGAGAGGTGTTGCTCAAATAAAACGAGCAACAAGAAATGAAAGTTAAATAAGTAAAGAGTTGCTGAAACATCTTTCGCAACAAATAACACATAAAGGGCTCGAACAAGAAGAACAGTTAGTCTAGAAACTAAACAAAACAATAACAGCTATTTTAACAGCATCCGGGATTATCAGGCTGCGCAGTTTATCGTGATCAGGCTGTCGAAGCTCTCTACAGAACTGCGCTAGGAATATTATTATTATCACTTTCTTCACTGTTCACTGCTGTTCAGGCCCTTCCCCGAACATTTGGGTAGACGCGCGAGTATCATCAATCCCACTCCCCATATCATGGGGTAAGTGATCATTGAGTCCAAGAATTATGTGCCCTAAGCAGACGCAAGGAGCCAAGTTTAACAGTCTTCTGCATTTGTGGCAGATTCGAGAATAGAGAGGGCCTCATTTCACTAAGGACTCCAATAATCGGAACAGCCATTATTCCTTCGCCTCGAAAGAAGTTGCTGGCCCAGTACTTGAAGCTCCTACCCATTCGGAGGGAGTGCCAGTATCGTTTACCAATAACCACTTTCTACAACCAAGAATGACAGCCTTCTGCAGATGAAATACTGGTCAAGTGCGGAGACTATTCGTGCATATAAAAGGATGGTAAACAACTTATAGCACAAACTCAAGCATGACAGAGGAAAATTTCCAATTATGGGGATATAAATGGTCCGCTCTTCGACAAACCAAGTCTGTTGCTCTCTATCCAGCTAAGTTTCTTCCACCTATAGGTAAATATTTATTCCATGCGGTCCCGGAGCAGCGAAGTTGTTAGGACCCAAAAGGGGTTATTACCTTTTCTCCGGTGGTTATAGTTTCATTCTGTTCAAGCTGTAGTAGTTCTGTACAGAAAGTTTCGAGCTGGTTGCGTATGCTCATAAACATTATTATTAAATGGTTAGCATTGCAGACGTTAAGCGGCAGAGAGGAAGGAGTTGATAACGACAATATATCTTGGTACAATCATGTCGCTAGAACTGCAAACGCTGCTTCTCAAAAGCTTGGAACACTGTTCCGTACCAGAAAACTGCACACATCCCAGCAACTTTTGATGCTTCATAGCGCTCAGATCAGACCTTCTTTGAAGTATTGTTCTCATCTATGGAGCTCCGCCCCTAAGCATACCCTGAAGATGCTGGATTCCATCCAGAAAAGAGCCATCCGCCTGATGGGAGACCGAACATCACTTGCGACCTTCTGGAACGTCGAAAAAAGGTTGGAGATTTGTCTCTCTTCTATGATACTTTCACGAGAAGTGTTCAAGTGACTTGGCACATTTGATTCCACCAAGAGCGGTACATATCAGAAATACGCGACGAACTGTGGCTGCTCATCGTTTCGAGGTTCAACTCATTACACTTCAAACTTCATTGTTTAAGAACTTTTCCATTTCGAAAATTGTGTTTATGTGGAATAAACTCCCTGAGAACGTTTTTCAAATGGATTTAATTTTCAGCAATTCAAATCCAATATGAATTGCTACTTCCGCACAGACACCGCTCTTAGAGCACCTTAGGGATTTTTATGTAGTGCTTGTGTTTGTCCTTAAACAAAAACGAATTGCGAAACATCAACGAGCGGATCAGGGTAGTTGTGGACAAGAACCTGGTTGAACAGGTGACGAAATTGAATGACCATTTCACCATTCGTCCAAATAACCGACTTCGACTCGAAAAAAGTACGTACACGAGTGTTATCGGCTGTGTATGATTGAAATAAAAAAGGAGGAGGATTGTCGGAACAGCACCCGGGTGTATGTACATTCGTTTGACTCTGGAATTATCACATTGTTTCGGCAAGATCTCGCTTGCCATATTCATGCGCTCTGCTTGTTACCTGAACTTGATTCTGTTGTCATTCTTATCTATTTATACGTTGCCGTAGGCTGTAGTTGTGGTGTAGAAGTTCTGATTGGTCGATGGTGTGCAAGTTTAGTAGCGTTCTGGTTGATTGGGAGATATGATGGTTTGCAGCTGAGAGGTAGTGTGCGGCATATTTCTTGTTCAGACTGCCGATCTTTCTAATTTCTATTGCCTCTAATATCATTTGGGTTTTCTGGTGCTTCATACTGGCGATCTGTTGCAGCTTCTGAAGTCGATCTATGACCTATATCAAGGTGGTGTTTGTATAGGGCTGAGGTTGTTTGTTGCGTAGTGCGAGTTTGTTTTCCTTCTGACCTTGGTTTTCTAGGTTCACTTTGTCTTTTGGGAATTTCAATCATCATATAAACAAAAAAATGGCAATCATTACAAATAGTTAAAAATATATATGTAGGGTTATAGGATAGTCGAGTTGAAGGAAATCTTTCTGGGAACTTCCCTGTTGCCTTGGTTTTAAAGCTCTCCTAAATGATATACCGGCTGATTAACGGTGAATGGCACATTAGACGTTTCTGATGAATCAGACACCGGATCTCTTTGAAAATTCAATGGAGAGCATATTCGGACATTCTCTACCCAACTAAAATATTTTCGACACTGCGGTATTGCCACTATTAGAAAGTAGTAGTAACTTTCATTTTTCAAACGGAACACCCTGTATATAATATTATTTTTGAAATCTACAATAAATACCCACATACTTTTCTTGATATTTCTCTTTACCTATCTGTTACCGTTTTCGAAATATGAATCAATTTTAATTTTTTTCTTCGGAAATCATGACCTCTAAAAATGCTGATATCTTTGAGTTAAGGAAAACTATGGTACCGAAATTTTGTTTGGAGTTAGGTGATACTTCGAGGCTTCCTATACTTTAGCGTAATCTCCGATATTTCAATACAGGGTGGTTAAAAATACAGTTTACCATTTGCTTGAAAAAGTGACTGAACGTTGATTATTTCAAATGATACACCCTGGGTATTATTATAAATTCAGAAAGCTGTTGAAATTCTCTCCCTTCTCATGTATATTAAGCGATACTTAAATAGTCAAATTTCGGACTTATGAGCATTTATTTGTGAAAATATATCTTCAGAATGGTATTCCCATTCGGTAGTTTGTAAGCAGGCCATGATTACTATTTGATAGTAACATTGTGATATTTTCCTGATAATATTGATATTTTAGTCACTTCAGAAGTTTAAAATACCTTCAAAACGATTGAACAGAACTATTCAAACGAAGTTCTTATGAATTTGTTTATTATTTTTGGATAGTGTGATAAAATTATCAGCAGGACATGTACCTTAAATAAACCTAAAATTTTAGCAGCTCTCTGATTTTGTGAAAATACACAGGGTGTTCCATTTGAAATGATCAACTTTCAGTCACTCTTTCAAGCAAACGAAAAACCTGTATTTTTTACCACCCTGTATCGAAGTAACGGAGACTTCGCTAGTCTGGGAAGCCTTCAAGAATCACCTAACTCCAAACCACATTTTGGTACCACGATATTCCTTAACTCAAAAGATTTTTAGAAATCATAATTTGTGAAGAATATAATTGAAATTAATTCCTATTTTGAAAACGGTAACATATAGGTATAGGAAAGTATCAAGAAAAGTTGTCGGGTAATTGTTGTAGACTCCAAAAATAATATTACATACAGGGTGTTCTATTTGAAAAATCAAAGTTGCTACTACTTTTTAAAGGAAATGGCAACACAGCATTGTAGAAGATATTTTGGTTGGGTAGAAAATGTCCGAATATTCCCTCCATTGAATTTTCAAAGAGATCCGGTGTCATTGCTTTCTTAGTTAACTTGATGGATGGAAGGATTGATTGGCAAAACCCCCCCGAAACGAGACGGAAGGTCTCTTACGTCTTATCTGAATACAGTGCCGTTTTTAGGTTTTCCGGGGCCCCGGGCCAGTCACCGTTGGGGGCCCCTCCCCCCTCCCCATAAAAAAATGTTTTTTACAAAAACACGTGTTACAAAAATTTTTTACAACATTTTACTTATTACACAGGTTTTTTTCGGGCCTTTCGAATGGCGAACTTCTCGATTACATCTTTGAAATCTAAATCTCTAAGGACATCGTTCTCTATACTCATAAGCGACAACCATTTGAGTTTCTCCTGGCTCATGCTATTCCTCAGTTCGTTTTTGATCAATTTAAGTTTGGAGAATGATCTTTCACCACTGGCGTTGGTGATCATTAAGCACAAGAAAATTCTTAACGCGATCTCTACATTAGGAAACGTGGCAGCAAGATTGTTACTCTTTAAAAGTTTGTACATGTCATAAATAGGTATATGATCACCGAACATTTTTTCCTGCATCAAATAATGCTTAAAGTGTCCACATTCCATCAGCAGTTCTTTTTCGTCGACGTCGTTTGTATAAAACTCGCTAAAAGTCTGACAATGATCTTGCAGCTCTTCAAATCGCAAAACGCTTAACCTGGAAAAGAATCCGAACAAATTGAGTAGTTGATCGTAAGCCTTCGAACAATGTTGCAGTTGAGTAATCAAAGAGTCGATGATTGGAACGGAGACCTCAATCCTGAATTTCTCGCGGCCCTGGAACTGCAGCTTCATCGGAGAAAGTCAGTCGGGAGCTCCTTTGTCTCGTACGGGTTGTCTTATGCCTGTATTCGAAATCCAGGAAGATCTTTTTTGCCGCAGCTTCGTAGGTCTCGAAAATGTCGCGTTGATTCTCCACAAACGCAAGCAGGGATTCCACCAACTTGAGGGCTACGTCGAGAGGAAGACTTTCACTCTGTAGACTCTTCGACGTCTCGTTGCACCTGACCAAAATGTTGCTCCACATCTCGGTCAGCAGAACAGAGTCCAACGTTTCCAGTTTCGCCAAAATGCCTCGAGCTTCGTTTCGCGTTTCCGGAGTTTCTTGTTCGTCATCCATGGTCCTCAGTTCGTCGATTATTGCTGGGTAACACTTGTGCAATGCAGATACAGCATCCGCGCGCGCAGACCACCTGGTGTTCGAAAGTCGTTTCACCACTGTACCTTCCCCGAGATACTTCTTCAACACGTTCCAGCGATGTGTAGAACTGGCGAAGAAACTGTACAACTTTTGCAGCAACTGGAAGTAGCTTGTCGCCTCGATGACACACCCAGCGGCCTGCCCAACGACGAGGTTCAGGCTGTGCACCAGACATGGGACGAACAGGGCGCAGGTGCAGTGTTCCTTGGGCTTTGATTGTAATCCATTATACTGCCCTGCCATGTTTGAAGCGTTGTCGTACGTCTGCCCACGACAGTCCTGTAAATCTATACCATTTTCTTCAAGAAAAGATACAACGGTATCGGACAGGTACTCTGCTCCATGCCGTTCAATCTGAATGAAATCCAAGAATCATTCTATTGGGGAGCAGTCCTTCATGTACCGCACCACGAAAGTGAGCTGATCGACGTGGCTGATGTCCGTTATGTTGCGATCCGATGACTTCGTTGTCCCCGCGGAACGACAGACCTCTGGATGCTAAGAATTTTACGACCTCCACGATCCTTCTCAACACCTCTCTCCAGTAAGTCATTTCGTTGTTCAGTTGAGTAGCCAAACCTTCATCAACAAGACCAACGCTCTTCTTCCGTGCCACGTAAGTCAAGATGGCTTGCCTGTGTCCTGGACTGTTGTCGTGTTTCAAAATGCACACCCCGGAATGTTTCCAATCATTGAAGCCTCTGGAAGAACTGAATGCGGTACACGCGGGTGACAAGAGTCGACACGGAAAGCAGAACAAAACTTTCTGTGATGAAGAGTACACAAGCCAGGATCTATCAACTGTTTCGCCGTTTTGTAGTTTCCGAGAAAACACCGATGGGTTCAGGCATCAAAGTTTCACTTTTCCATCGTGTTCCGTATAACTTCTGGCAGAATCGGAGAAATCGCCATTTCTGTTCTGGAAAAATTCCGGGCCCTTACTGATCCAGATAGCGCGATCTTCCTCGGTAAACTGGGTCACTGGATCGTTAGAAACGTGTTTTGGTCTCTGATGAGTTTCCAGCAGTCCTTCAGTTGGAGGTTGTTGCGACTCTTCACAGCTGGGGGGCCGAATTTCCGGAACAGCAGCATCTGCTGTTGTCGAAGTCGAATGGAGTGTCATTTTTTTCAGCAACGGGTGGTGGTGTCTGAGCTGTTGTTGACGACAAATATTGGGTCAGCTTGGGCAACTTTGCGATCAAAAGTTTTTCTTCCGCAGCTTTTCGTCTCTTTGCCGCGCCGCCCAGATAGGTCCGACCTGACATCTTTCTGCGTTGATTCAACCTGTTAAATTGAATGACAATTATTTTATCGAAATTAAATTGATTTTTAACTTGAACTCATATTATATTTTATTACTTACGTAATGAAAATCACGTAATTATATTCATCAATTCGCTGAAAGTCAGTTCTTCTTATGGTCTTATGCTTATGCTCAACAACAGGCTTTCGTCGATCAAACTATCAGCCAGTAACATCGAACTCAGAGTATTACCGACAGAGGGAAATCATTACCGATCGTTGATACATTCATTCTTATTTCGAAATATAAGTGGCGGTAGATTTAAATTAGCGTGCAAGAAATGTTTTGAACGCAAATTTTTAGGTGGCCTCTTTTGGCGATATCGACTCTAACTTGTACAACAGTACGTAAACATGTTTTAATTGTTAAATCAAGTTTTCATGGATGGTCAATAATTATATTCAACATTTTTTCTTAATACATAGAACATTATTTTGAGATTATTTCAAAAAAGTCCATTTTTCAGATATTTGTCAAAATAATGACTCAAAATTTTACAGAAATACGTTAAAAAATATAAATTAGTAATAATTTCAAAAATTTCAATGATGTTTTTCTGAGAAACATTTTGTCATTCACACGAACTTTTGGGGGCCCCTCAGGACCTCGGGGCCCTGGGCCCGGGCCCAGGTGACCCATGCCTTAATACGGCGCTGTCTGAATACAAGGGAATTAGCCCTCTGAAAAAATCTTGAAGTGAGTCCTGAAGAAAGTTCAGATTTCAAAGACCAGGTAAATATCCATTGAATATTTCCCCATGAGATTATTTGGTTCCATCATTTCACGTTCCTTTCTGATTATGCCTACGAAGTGATTCCGTAGGCGTTTCTCTCAATAAGACAATACATGGAATGATATGAATAATTTTCAGCTGAAGAAAACTTATTCGTTTTATAAAATGTATAATTTTCGATTACCTTCTGATATATCTTCACTGTTTTCTACATTTCCTAACTTTGTAACTCTTTCTATAACCTGGTTGATGTGTTTCATCAATTTTGAGATGTCCTTTACTTCTTCAAAGTTTGTTTGGGCCATTCTTGTCGTATCCTTATCCGACTTAGCTAAAGAAGTTCTGAGGAGATAACATAAAGAAGAATCCATGACGTCTTCCCAATTCTAAAATGAAAATAAATTTCAAACTGTAATTATTCAGTTCATAAAATCAACATGCAACAAAATGGTAGTGTCTTTGAATATTTCGTACTATACCTTATTCTAAATAATAATAACCGTTACTTTTTTGATCATCACTCAGAAGAATGTACCTACCATAGGACGAACATGAAGTTATATGAAGATATAGATGTATAATCTTTGTTATGGATTAAACGTTATGTAGTTTCTGTCATGAAAAATGAAATTCTACTTTTGGATTCAGTTTTGAAAAAGTGACATTTTTTGCCCGCCTATTTTTAATACCCAATAAATAAATGTTCTTGTATGCAATAACATATTTTGGGGCACAAAAATATCATTACAAAGTATTGGAATTGTTCTTGAATTTGGATATAAAAGTATTGAAGAAATGGTGACTACTTTGTTACGTAAGAAGACTTTCTTGCATTTTTATTTGTGAATAGAACCACATATTGAGAGTTGTTTTCTGCAAATTTGTTTGATGTAGATTGTATAACTTTTCACCATTAGAGAATTTTTTGATCTGCTTTCTCATTCCTTCCTGAAGTACCTATATGGCGGAAAGAAAAATATCGAGCTCATTCACAAATATTTATTTTAAAGGAAAGAGTTCATCTAAAACAACTACTCTTTCGAGTACTGGGTTAAAACCGGAGCATTTGATTTGAATATTTTGACAACAAATTGAAAAAATGATAGTGATTTTTCATCAATTTTTCAACAAACAATTATTAATAAACAAAATGGTTGAGGCTTTTGCGGCCGAGGTTTTCAGTCACTAGTGTGACACTGAATTATCAATAAATGGGAAACAGAAAAACTGCAGAGTGATGATATGTGATTTTTCATATAGGGCAATTGAAGATTGTTAGTTCAACGTATTTTGCAAAGTACGGCAATATAGTAAAAATACAATTGATAATGATATATTGATTCAAAATAGTTTCAATACATTTTCACTCCCAGTTTTGATTATACAGGAAACATCTTCCTTTCTTTTCTGATTCTGAAGTGATTTAATGTGTAGTTTTTGACATATTTATATATTTTTGAAATCTAGTGTAACAAGATGGAAATTTGATGCAGAAATCTAATTATCATAAAAAATTTGTTGATATTATTTATGTGGTTTCAATACATGGAATCATTGATAACTGAATAGAACTGGCCGATACTTTATGCAAATCCATAATGAAACTAATTAATACACTTTATTATAGCTTCCTCAAGCATAAACACTTGAGGAAGCTATTGTATAGCGAAACACGTGTCGCGGTTTTTGTGAAACCCTTTATAGTGAAAATCATGCAATAAACTGTATTAATTAGTTTCAGAAAACATTGAATAATTTGAAAATTTCATACAAGGTATTCGGTAATAAATAAGCATAAGAATTCAAGTGTCAGTTTTTGTGAAGTTATCAACTCATAGCTAAAACAGCTTTGACGCTTTAACTTTTTTATTGGCACAGAAAAATGAACAGATACTATATCTTTGACATTTTTTGTGGTCACAAATGTATACTTCGATGTCAAAGTTCAAAAAAATCATGCACTTCCTATTAAAATATTCGAGAAAAGTATGGCATCTGAAGGAATTGAGAAAAAATAAGTGGATTAGTGAAAAATTTCAATTTCTGATTTTTGCAATTTCTTCCTGACATTCTGCTGGCGTGAGTGACTAGTTCCTTCAGAGGTTTATACATCCTGAGTTATTCTCCGATGACTGGATGTTACAGCTGGGTTAGGTTAGGTTAGGTCCAAAGTGAGTGGGTGTATGCGAACCACCACCGCAACCCGCAAATATTCATTGTGGCTCACACTTATTCACACTCGACCAAATAAACCCAGCTTCTTAACGAAGTCGATTAGTTTGTATGGTGAGTGGTCTTTCAGGTCAGATGGTAAGAGTACGGCTCTGCCGAACTCTAAAAACCTGATTCGGTCCCCAGCGGGGCAGGCACAACGTATGTGCTTTGCTGTTTCATCATTTTCCAAACAGAGGCGACACACACTATCTTCAGACTGCACGAGTCTCTGCATATGATGATGCAAATTACAGTGACCTGTAAGAAAGCGTGTTAGACATTACAGTTCATCCCTACCGTAGTCCAACAACTGTTTGGAATCAAGCTTCGAAGGGTCAATAAACGCCTTGGAGCCATCCAATTCTGCCATCCATGGGTTCAATGTTTGTTTGGCAAAGCCTAAAGCGATGCCAATGACAGGTTCTGGTCCGATGAAGCTGCTTGCAGCACCCTCCTTTGCAAGAGAGTCAGTAGCCTCATTGCCTATTTCCAGGTCAGTATGGCCAGGAATCCAGACTAGAGACAATCTGTCAAGTCTTCCTATCGAGGAGAGTCGTTTTTGGTGATTTGCTACCAATTTAAACGTTGCTCGGTAGGAGCCAATCTCTCCAGTCTCTCCGCACACAATTCAATAGCGTAAATTTCCGCTTGAAATACAGTCGCATAGGTTCCTAGGCAGGTTGATCTCTGCACCAGAACCGGAAGGTGTTTTTGATCCATCTGTAAACCAACAACTATCTGCTCTTAATATTTCCTTCTCCCGAGGGATCCAGTTCTCTCTACTCGGGAACAGTACTTTATAAGGTAGTTCGTAGTTGACAGTTGGAGGCATAGAGTCAGAGGTCATTTCCAGAATGCTGTGACTTCTCGTGTCAACCAACAGTCTGTTGCACTCTGCATTGAATTGATTTGTGATTTGCCAATGTTCACAAGTCTACGGGATGACCCACCATATTCGCCTCGGTATTTTTACGAGAAATAAAGAGAGTTAGGGAAAAACTTTCAGCAAACTTATATGTGGGTCCATGAGGAGCATATTCCAAAATTATTTTAAAATATACATGGTGACTCCAAAATAGTTTATTATTTCAATAAATACTCAAAATGGTGTCCATTTTTCTCGATGCATAGGCGAACTCTTTCGTGAAATGAGTGAAGTGGAGTAGTGAAGAAGAAGTGAAGAAGTGAAGTAAAATATAAAAACGCCTTTTGTGTAAAAAGCAGAAGGGATAGGTAAAGGGCTCCTGCGTCAAATTATGCCACTAAATACGGGGTGTTCCATTCAACTTTAAGAAGTTATTTAATTAAATGTGTGTCCAAATTTTGAGGCAATTTTTTACGCCACTCTAAATAATATTGCATTAAAATTTCATGTGGTAGTCAACTTTAACCTTTGAGCTAAGCAGTACATTCAATCACGAGCAGCTCGTAACACGTTACAGGGTGAAAACAATTTTTAAATGATGGTCTGTATTTTTAAATTTCTTGAAATTTCTCAGAAACGGCCAGTTTTATTTTGTCTATAGTATCTAAAAATAAAAAAATAGGGTGTTCCATACGAAAAAATGTAACATTGGTATGTAAGTTTTTTGGGAGTCACCCTGTATATTTCAATATTATTTTGGAATATGCTCCTCATGGACCCACATATACCTGTGCTGGAAGTTTATTCCTAACTCTCTGCATTTCTCGTAGAAATACCGAGGCGAATGTGGTGGGCCACCCTGTATAAGCAGTCCATTTAACCTCTCTCTCCCGAAAAATGTGGAGAGGGGGTAGATCTAGGAGGATCTCCATCAGTTAGTTTGGTGTGTGAATACTTGTACCTGGATTAGGTGAGTTGCATAAATTCAGGTACAGGTATTAGCACACCAAAGTACCGGAATCAACATATACGCTTTACGCAGCCGTAATATCCAGACATCGGAGAATAACTTAGGATGTATAAACCTCTGAAGAAGCGACTCACTCGCGTCAGCGAAATGTCAGGAAGAAATTCCAAAAATCAATGATCTTCAAACCTGAAAAATAGTGACACTGAAAACCTCGACCGCGATAGCCTTGACTATTTAATCGAAGGGGTAATTGTTTCAAGTGGAATCTTTTTTTGTTGTACCTGCAGATTGCTTGAATAGTTTGTATTGATATGATTTACTTTTTCACAATTCTAACACATTGACAACTGAACACAATTATGACATTGTGTTCAGTTGTCATAAAGTTTTAGTAAAGTGAAGTCATGCAGAAAGGTTGAGAATATTAAATTCCAGGCATTTCAATCTTGACTTGTTCAATGGGTAATGTCATTCATGATACGAATCCTAGTTATGAAATTTTATAATTTCTAAGAACATCAAGCTTGAACATATCTAAGATGGGGTATTGTTGAAGGCGAGAAACGCATCTGAAGTGTTGAACCTATAATCAAATAAAGCACAAAGTAATGCTGCGGTTTTCCAGAGGTTATGTAAGAAAGCAGAGGCGCATAAATCTTCAATCATAATAACCATGAACACGCAGATCTTGTCAGTAGGAAACCTGCATTAGTTTCTCATCTCTTGATATCCAGTAGTCACGTAACATGTTTTGCCCTACTTTAACCTTCGCGTAATCATGAGAAAATTTTCTTTTATTTTATTTAATTCTTGTTGAACTGCAAAAAAGTAAATAAACAGTTGAATTCTCACTTGTGATTCCAAATCTTGCACGCTGGGGCAGAACACGGACTCTAAACTTTCCTTCAACTTTCTGTCCACGTCCATTACTTTCATCATGTTAAACAGCAAATTCAAACCACATGAAAGATTCGTTCGAGCTCGGCAGAGTTCAAAGTTGGCACTTTTCAATTTTTCGGTAACTTCAATTATATCGGAGTGAGTATCCTCTAATAAAATTTCCAAGTTTGTCAAAGGACTTGGATTTTTCATTTTAAACTTTGCTATTAGTCTCTTCTGGATTATTCTATATTGGGAGCTTAGCTGACATAAATATTCCTGAAAAATGTTATGAAATATACTAATTTTTTGACGAGAACTGTAAAGGTTTTCGTATTCATTAAATATTTAATATATACGTCGATTTGAGAAGAAATATGAATTGAAATTGAATTTGAATTATATATGCTTATTTTGGAAATATATTCAATGGCTTATCGTTAAAGATTCTATGATTATGGTGTTTTTGATTATTCTTTAACTGATGATTTACGTTATATGTCGGGATCTTGTCAGAAACGCTTTTTAATGATTTGGAAGATTCACCCCTGATCACTCCAAGGAAATAATTTTTTTCGACAGTGTTCGTTTACGCTGTCTGTTCAAAAATAAATTGAATTTTTTTTTGCTAAAAATATTATTTATTCATCAATTTCTATTCCGTCCCCTCCAAAGTAGTCCCCCTCGGATATAATACACTTGTGTCAACGTTTTTACAATCGCCGAAACAGTTCTGATATGCACTTTTTGGTATTTCATTGAGCTCTCTCAACGATTCAGTTTTTATCTCCTCAATCGGCACAAAACGCCGTCTTGTCATGGGTCTTTTCGAACTTGGGAACAGGAAAAAATCGCAGGTGGCCAAATCTGGTGAATACGGTGGCTGAGGCATGATTAAGGCGTTGCTTCTCGCCAAAACATTACGAACAAACAATGACGAGTAAGCAGGTGGATTATCTTGATGCAAAAGCCATGAATTGTTTTTCCATAATACTGGACGTTTTCTTCGTATTGCTTTTCGCAAGCGGCGCATAACTTCAAGATAATACTCTTCTTGTGATATACTGTTTGGAACCTTTGGTGTAGTAATGAATATTACTGGAGTTTTTTCCTAACACCAAATCGTTATTTTTACACCTCGACACGTGTTTCGATCACCAAGTGATCATCTTCAAGAGGAAGATAAAACTANCATAGACCACTGACTAATAAGAAATATTCAATGAATGATCTCAATGAAATGAGGAAACTATTTCAGAGTAAAACAAAAAACGATCATTTAAAAAATCGCATTACAAAAAATAAAAAATCTTTCCGATCTGATATTAATGAAATTAGTTGAAAATACATCTTTCAAATAGTGATATTGAATGCGAAAATACAAACCATGAAATTATGAAACAACAAAAACATTAATAGGCGCTCCGGAGCGACTTCATTGATCCCAGTGGCGCATTTGCTTTTTCAGCTGCAGGAAAACCCGGAAAAACCTACAACAACCATTTCTAGGCCGTAGAAAACCCACATGGCCGCATGGGATCATAAAATCCCATTACCAAGAGCATTTTTCTGTAAATGAATGGACTGGAAATATTGGTAATCATTCAATTAGGTAAAATTTTCTACCAGCTAAATTGTACCCAAATAAAACAATTTTTATTGAGCTGCAATAAAAATAAACTATTCAAATATAAAAGGAAGAAAGAAATGGGAATAATATCAAATCAATCATCTAATCATTTATCTAATCATCATTAATCATCTAATCAATGTTACAATATTATTTCATTTTGGTGTTATAGTGTTCTTCAGTAAAATGACCCTCATTAAATTAAAAGAAGATAAGCAACTATTCACTTTTATTTCCTGTGTTATATTGAAATATGAAATATACGTTACTTGTAACATCAAACACAACACAGACTCTTAGTAACTTCAATTCAATTCTACTTACTTCCAACTCTATAACACGCTGTCTCTTCTTGAAGTGCCCATCAACATACAAAACAAGCTCATTAGAAGGCAGCGCAGAATTGTAGAACACTTTAAAACCGTTTGTGTTCGAATAATGTCTCTTCAAGCGGAAAATCATCTGCTCAATGATCACACTGAGGGCTGCTAATGAGTTTGATTGCAACCTGTACCTCTCCGTGGACTTGGCTTGCAAAATAGTGACTGTGCTTCCGCTGTTGGCTTTAGGTTGGAAGGCAAAGGCGCTGGCATTTTGGGATAATGATGTGTCTTCAACGAATTCTGTAAGAATGATTCACAGTAACATAATTGCGAGATATTCCGTAAATTGACTTTTATAATGCTATTCACTAGTGACATGATTAGGGAGATAACCTTGTTTATTATTTGGTTTATTTTGAATGGAAATAACAGGGATGTAATTTTTTTATGTGAAACATCTACAGCCGCACGTAAAACCGATTGTTGGCTGGCGACCGGTCGCCACGCTATGATAGTGTAAGAATGAATCATCTGATGAGGAATATTTTGTCGAGCCGCCGCCGGTCATGGGAAGCTTACACGTTGAATCATAATTGCGATATCGAAAGGTTTTTGTTTTTGGAATGATTCAATGGAATATTATGTATTATGAAGATTACACTGGTCTACAGTGGTTTTGTTGCCCTAGATGTAAGATTGATTTTGGGTGTATTTATACTCACAATTCATGAAATTATCAATGGTTTTGTAAGATTTGCTCTCGTTTTCTTTTAAATATTTATTTTCATTTTACATTACAAAAATTCGAAAACAAGAAACAAAATAACAGATATATTTATAATCTCAGTTTTATTTGGAAAAAAATATGATACTTTGAAGTAAATAGAGAGGGAAATTTCGAAAACATGTTATATTTCCATGAAACGCCTTTTAAGAGCTTTTCTTTTATAATTTTTCAGAGGACAATCNAGTTCTCAGCTGTTTTGCAGAGCAAGGAGCCCGAGAAGTGGGGATCACGTGATGTTTGTACGCGCAAAGAAGTTGCGCAGAAGCCTAATCATGACTGAGAAAATATTTTTTTTTACTAACAAGCCGATTGTAAATCATAAAAAATAGAGCACATTCAGTACTTTCATAAATTTATTCGTGATTTAGGCACTCGAAAACATAAAAATTTGCAAAAATATCCACACAACACAAAACACACAACACAACACAAAAACACAACACAACACAAAAACTTTTTTTTTGTAGAGCTGTGTTATGTATTCATTATGTGCTCGAATACAGAAGCCGCTCATGTTTACTCGTTGTATGTGATTTAGTTTATGTGGAAAGGAATAAAAGGTGTTATTCAAAGTGCAACCAGTGTTTGTTTCTATCATCAGAAGTGAGATTGTGTCTAACACACACAGCAAATTCTGTTGTTTGACCATTGAAAAACAGTCTTGTGTTACGGTGCTTTACGCCAATGAAAAATGCTTCTCTAGGATTGTAGAAATGACTTTTTTTCAAGGAGGGATATTCGACTCTAACACTTTTAGCTGAACTGGTTAAAGCTTTGACGTCACTGAGATCTGGTGACCAGGTAGATTTGCCCTATTTTAGACCGGAAAATAATGAATCCAGCAAATGAGTGAGTCAAGTAGGCGCTATTGAAATTGAAATAGGCTGATCTGATGTTCAAACATTATCAAGAATTGGTCGATTTTTACTAAACGAGACAAAAAGATGGTTTGAACGTTGAAACCCCGATAACAGAGACTGGGTAACTTATTGTATTCATTTTATCGAAGCTTTTCCACCAAGAAGAAACCTTGGTCGTATGTTAGAAGATGCAGTTAAATTCTCAAGTGCTTTCGTAAACACCTATGAATCGTATGCACCTGAAAAATCAGCAATGTTATGGAGTGTATGCGCAAAATGATGTAAGATTGACTTAGTAGAATCAATCGTTCATGGATTATCTGAACCTGAAACACGCAATGCTGCTATGAATGCTGTCGTACTATTTCTAAGTTATTGGTGTTTTTGTCTTTCTTTGTAAAACGTGCTCGTAACAATGAGGTACAAAGAAAAATTTCTGGACGCGACATTTCTTCACTCAAGAGGAAACACCTTTTTCCTGTCAGAAGAACAAGTGAAGCCAAATTGTCATACTAAAAATCCAAAACCATCATATGACAACCAAAGTGTCTCTACCAGTCAACGTGAAGTGCCGAGTTCATCACAAAGTTCCGAAACTTCTAGTTTTTGCGCCAGGACAGTCACAATGTTTCAAATTTGTTTCACTAAAGCTGCAATTGAGAAACGATGCAATATTAATATCTGTACAGCGGTCCAAGAGCGTGTAGGTTCAATGAAAGTTGTTATAGATGGTCACCAGTTCTGGGCTTTGCTTGATACTGGAGCTGATTCATCGCTGATTTCTGATACATTTTTACATTTCCTTGAAATTACAATTATTCCATTTAGTATGGTCTCAAAGGGCCTGACAAATGTCACCATTGAGGCTTCTAAAAGATTCACAGGTTATACAAACATTTCTGGTATTGGTTTTACAGTAAGTTATGTCTTCATTGCTAATGATTATCTCGATCACGGTATTCTAATTGGACACAATATTTTTGAAGATCAAAGCCTCATAACCAGATTTTCTGAAGGATTCAGTTCGGAGTTGTCTGAAGTCGATATTCCTGCCGAGTTTCGCAGTGATCTATAAGTGATTTTTCGAAATTTATCCGGTATGATTATAACTGGAAATAAAGGAAATAATAGGAGCTGCCAATACTATAAGCCTGAAAATTCGCTTAGAGAAAGACATTATTGTCAACCGTACTCCCTATATCTTGGCTATGAAGGGAGGCAGTTCGAGAAATAATAGAAGATTTGATGAGGAATATGAGATCAAGTGGATCACCGTTTTCCAGTCCTGAGCTTTCGAATGTGCATATATTTTCGCCAACTTAACCGCTTCACAATTGAAGATCGCTTTTTTCTGCTACTCATCGACGANAAAATGCTTCTCTAGGATTGTAGAAATGACTTTTTTTCAAGGAGGGATATTCGACTCTAACACTTTTAGCTGAACTGGTCAAAGCTTTGACGTCACTGAGATCTGGTGACCAGGTAGATTTGCCTTATTTTAGACCGGACAATAATGAATCCAGCAAATGGGTGAGTCAAGTAGGCGCTTTTGAAATTGAAATAGGCTGATCTGATGTTTAAACATCATCAAGAATTGGTCGATTTTTACTAAACGAGACAAAAAGATGGTTTGAACGTTGGAACCCTGATAACAGAGACTGAGTAACTTTTTGTATTCATTTTGTCAAAGCTTTTCCACCAAGAAGAAACCTTGGTCGTATGTTAGAAGATGCAGTTAAATTCTCAAGTGCTTTCGTAAACACCTATGAATCGTATGCACCTGAAAAATCAGCAATGTTATGGAGTGTATGCGCAAAATGATGTAAGATTGACTTAGTAGAATCAATCGTTCATGGATTATCTGAACCTGAAACACGCAATGCTGCTATGAATGCTGTCGTACTATTTCTAAGTTATTGGTGTTTTTGTCTTTCTTTGTAAAACGTGCTCGTAACAATGAGGTACAAAGAAAAATTTCTGGACGCGACATTTCTTCACTCAAGAGGAAACACCTTTTTCCTGTCAGAAGAACAAGTGAAGCCAAATTGTCATACTAAAAATCCAAAACCATCATATGACAACCGAAGTGTCTCTACCAGTCAACGTGAAGTGCCGAGTTCATCACAAAGTTCCGAAACTTGTAGTTTTTACGCCAAGACAGTCACAATGTTTCAAATTTGTTTCACTAAAGCTGCAGTTGAGAAACGACGCAATATTAATATCTGTACAGCGGTCCAAGAGCGTGTAGGTTCAATGAAAGTTGTTATTGATGGTCACCACTTCTGGGCTTTGCTTGATACTGTAGCTGATTCATCGCTGATTTCTGATACATTTTAACATTTCCTTGAAATTACAATTATTCCATTTAGTATGGTCTCAAAGGGCCTGACAAATGTCACCATTGAGGCTTCTAAAAGATTCACAGGTTATACAAACATTTCTGGTATTGATTTTCCAGTGAGTGAGTTATGTCTTCATTGCCAATGATTATCTTGATCACGGTATTCTAATTGGACACAATATTTTTGAAGATCAAAGCCTCATAACCAGATTTTCTGAAGGATTCAGTTCGGAGTTGTCTGAAGTCGATATTCCTGCCGAGTTTCGCAGTGATCTATAAGTGATTTTTCGAAATTTATCCGGTATGATTATAACTGGAAATAAAGGAAATAATAGGAGCTGCCAATACTATAAGCCTGAAAATTCGCTTAGAGAAAGACATTATTGTCAACCGTACTCCCTATATCTTGGCTATGAAGGGAGGCAGTTCGAGAAATAATAGAAGATTTGATGAGGAATATGAGATCAAGTGGATCACCGTTTTCCAGTCCTGAGCTTTCGAATGTGCATATATTTTCGCCAACTTAACCGCTTCACAATTGAAGATCGCTTTTTTCTGCTACTCATCGACGACCAATTGGAAGACTGAGCCAGGGACGTTAAATCACATCTTTGGATATGGCTTCCGGTTTCCATCAGATACCGATCGAGGAGGGATTTATTCATAAGAATGCATTCGTCACGCCACACGAAAGGCCACTTTGATCATCTGTGGATGCTGTTCGGACTTGCCAATGCACCGGATGTATTTCAAAGGGCGGTTAACTTTGCCCTCGGTAATCTGAAGTATTTAATTGCCCTAGTTTATCTCAACGACATTTTGATCTCTATTGCGACTCCGGAAGAGGAAGTCGATAACCTTCGGCGTATAGTACCGCAATTTCTAACCGCAGGTTCTTCTTGAAATATTGAGAAACGCCGTTTTTTTGAATCATGTCTGGAATACCTTGGAAGAGAAGTCTCAGGTAAGTGAGTAAGTAAGTAATTTATCCAGGTGAAGGAATAAGAATCGAAAAAATTAAAGACAGGGAAAAGCTGAGCTTTTTTCCTAATATGATGAATACAATTTTTCTTTGCAATTCAAGCATTACTTTTGCTTTACAGATTCTTCATCAAGTGGGAAAGGCGTCGAGAGCGTCGCTCTTGCCAGGAAGGCCGTGTAAGAATAATTTGACAAGCCGCCTTCGGTCATCGGAAGCTGAGACGTCGAATCATAATTGTTATATCGAAAGATATCTGTTTTTGGGATGATTCAATGGAAAATGTATTTCTCCGTGCTCGGATACAGAAGCCGCTCATATTCACTCGTTGTATGTGATTTGGTTTATATGAAAAGGGAATTCAAGGTCTTATTCAAATTACGACCAATGTTTGTTTCTATCTGATTCGGCGTTAAAATCAAGGAACATTAGCGATCATGACAGAATGTATAGACAGAGAGTATAGAGCAACAAGATATACAATTTATTTTGATAATAAACTCATTCACTAGAATCTATTGGAATCTTGTGGTCATGAAATTAACTGACTTGCCGATTATTCACGTTAATGTCTTAGTTTTCTTTCGAAGTGTTTACCTATTGTTTAATCCCAATGAGTTTTTCCTTGAGGTCTTTAATTCTTGCACTGAATATTTTAAGAGCTTCCGAACTCCTGCAGTTATCAGTTTCTTTCATCTTGTGCATGTAGTTGATTATATTGTTTTGGAATGCATCTCATTTGATACGACTTATCAACATGACAAGTTATTGGGCCAAGTGAATAAAAATAAGTGAAAGGTTTGACTCTCATTTCATCCATGTCATCATTTTACATAATGAAAATGTGAACAACATTATTCGCTTCTGTTTTACTCACATGCCTCATTGAATAATTTTACTTACACTTGATTATATTTCCGAAGATTGCCTATTGAGGAGGGGCAAAAACCCATGGGATTTCAGGTAAGAACGAATCCTCAAAAAATCCCCCAAAAGGGGGTATAAACACGGTACACAAAGGAAGAGCTGAATCCATTATTAAAAATTCCGTCAAAACTTTAGGAAAGAACTACCCATGAATTTTGAATTTTTTATTGAAAGGAATACTATTTTTCGTGTTTTGTAAATTAATATATTTTGAAATTTGAATTCATTTGAGGGCTCAAATGATTTAACGTTCAAGTTGATGCTAAGCAATACCAGAGTAATTCAACGGCATTCGTAGAAAACTCGACTATGGTTATTTCCAATAGATTTTCCCCTATAGACATATTCAGAAAAATCGAGGAGCTACAAATCTGGTGATCATGGAGACCATTCAATGCCGCCTCTTTTTCCAATCCATTGATGTGCCATCATGTTGAAAGATTGAATGAGTCTTTTTACACTGTTGATAAAGATAAACATTTTCCACGACATCAGAGTATGAGAAAAGGCCTCCATGGTCACCAGATTTATCGCACCTCGACTTTTTATGTAGATTTCTTCACTCAACCAGCTTCATAATATGACAAATGCAATGATTGAAAATGTATATATTAAACCATGCGAAAACACTGACTTTAGATGATGCTTTCGCTCTAACAAAAAACTGAAATCGAAGAATAAACTCACCTGGAAACAACCTTGCAATTGGTAATGATGCCTGATTAATTAATAGGGTTATTTTATGTTCAGCGTCTTTTTGAGGTTCGCCAATTTCAGATACTAATCTCAGAGGTAAAAACGTAGCTTCACTGATACATCTCGGAATTCCAAGATTACTTATAATTGTTGCCGCCACATCAACATTCAAACTCGGAACGTCACAATCGTCATTTAAAAATGCGTAACAAGTAAACGAAGATCTCTCACTAATGCTTGAGAAAAAGTGAGTTTTAGGATATACCTTGAGTGGTGGTAAAACTGATACAGTCACTTGAACTTCTTCGAACAAAATTTGTGGTATTACATCAATCGTAATGGCACACATTTGCTGATTTTCTACATTCTTGAGGTTGTTTTCAAATGTGCAAGGGACCAATTCGGGGTGGACAAAAATTTTCATCGATATTTCCTTCTTGGTATTCTGATTAGTTAGTTTGATATCTAAAAAAGATAAATCTCAAAAATGGAACACCCTGTATTGTGATGGAAAGCAAAAAAGGATAAAAGCATTTTTTGAAGTCATCATATCAAAAAATTAAGAATCTTAAATAGTTCATTATTTTAATAAATGCTCAAAATGGTGTCCATTATTGTCAATACATAGGCGAACTCTTTTTTGAAATGAGGGCTGAACTCTGGATAACATATTTTGTGATATGGAACGAAACACGATTCTTATTCGTACTTTCATATACGGAGGTGTCGTTGGTGATGTATAATGACCATTACTTTTGATATAACCCCGGACTTGTAAGGTCCGGAGACCTGGCTGGCCAGTAATGTAGACCTCCTCGTTCTATCCATCTATTTGGATATTATTGATCAACCTCGTTTCTAACACGTCTATCAAAGTGTGCAGGAGCACCAACTAGCTGCATGCACATCCGTTGACGAATATTAGAACCATATAATGACCATAAAAATAGTAAGGAACTACTACTTGCGTTCCAATTAATCCAACCCACACATTAACGGACCATCTGTGCTGATGATCAAGGGTTTTAAAAATATTAGGGTTGTCGTCACTGTGGCAGTGAAAGTTATGTCTGTTAACTAAACCGTGGTAATGAAAAGTTAACTCATCGGAAAAAAGCACATAATCAAAAAAAAATTCTTCACCATCAAACATTTCTGAAACCCATAGACAAAAATTCAGTCGTCGATCATAACTTTCAACAAAAAGCTGATGATATAGTTGAATGCGATATGGGTGGAATTTGTAATTTTTAATTATTCTTTGGATACTCTGTCTGCTTAATCCAGTTGTTTCACATATTTTTCGTTGACTTGTGTGAGGGTGTTCAATTAGATATAACATGACTAAATATTAATTTTTCTCATTTCCAGTAACCGTTTTTTGCCGTTCTTGTATATTATAAGATACACTGCCTGTTCTTCGGAAAAGCTGCAACAACTTTTCCAATGAACGCTTGTTAGGATGACTCCTGTTAGGATACCTTTGGGCATTTACTCTTGACGCGAATACACAGTTTTCTTCACACTCACCGATTATCAAAATCATATCAATTCGCTTTTTCTGGGGATAAGTTCCAAAAACTGTTTAATCTTCCTCTTGAAGATGATCACTTGGTGATCGAAATACGTGTCAAGATGTTAAAAATAACGATTTGGTGTTGGGAAAAAACTCCAGTAATATTCATTAGTTAAAACAATGACAATGGTTTGATTAACAAGTTGTGGCACTGTCAAACCTTAATATAGTTTTGAAGGGAATCTATTTCTGACTCAAATTACGCCACTATATACAGGGTGTTTCATACAACAACAATACCATTATTACTCACTGGTGCATAGAAAATATTTTAGGTTATGGTAAACAGTAGAAATCAGTCTGTAGGTGATCTACTCGAATGATTCCAGTTTGGTCCTGCTGCTGGATGAACGAAAAACATTTGCCAAACGAACTTCTCTGAGATATATCGCATAAATGTCTGTCTGTTCTGGCAGGAATTTACCAGAACGTACTGTCTATACTCTGTCCATCTAAGTAAAATAGTGTTCCAAACATTATCATGCATAGTGCACGTGATCTTCCAGACAAGGCTGCTTTTACAGAGTCGCACTAAGGAAAAATCGAAATTTTTTTTATTTTTTTTTAATAATATGCGACCGGGCATAGGAAAATTTTGTAGATGGAATGTAGGGACACAAATTAGTAGTTTCATCAGCCGTATCAGTTCTTGACATTTTGAAAATTTTGAACTTTAAAATATCGTTTATGTACACACTACAGTCGTTAAAACGTAATTCACTACTCCAGTCCTGTAGCGATATACCTGAATGAATGCCGCCAGCCGATGCAGTTGAATTTGATGGGCCAACATACGAAGGCTCATTTATTTTACCCAATAGATGCAAATGATGCGTGATCATGCTTTGATCATGCATCTATCATTTTTTGGGTTGAATATTACTGGAGTCTTATCCCAACACCAAACCGTTATTTCCAACTACTCGATTCGTGTTTCAATCACCAATTGATCGTCCTCAAGAGAAACATTACATTGTTGGATGAACAGAGTTCAGGTGAGTTGGGATAAATGAATATTTCCAGTTTTTATTTCTTCCGATTTGTTTTGAGTCAAATTGAACAGATGTCACTTGTCACTTCCAGGGTTAGAATTGATGGCAGCTATTGTAGTAGCCTGATTCTCTGATCACATTCAAAAGAGTTTGGAATAGTAGATAATTGAATTCTAATCAATTCGTACTTTCAATCACCAGATGCATGATCACATGTTCCAAGAAATTATAATCCAGAGAATATCATGCTAAGAAACTACATGAGAGAAAATAGTTAGGGAACCTTATTGGTTTGAGAGGCAAAAATATGGTCTATTTTTCCATTTAATATTAGAAAATAGTAGAAGGAAAAAAAGTACCTATAATTCAGTTCATAATATCATGATAATTGTGATATTGATAGGATTATTTTTCGTGGTGTATACTCACTCACCCGTACACGTGCTGAAAATGTTTCTTTTTGTGAATGCTACCTGCAGAGTTCATGTATGGGACACTGCGATGTGAATGGGGAATGTTCCTCAATTTGGGTTATTATAGCAAATGCAAGGTTGAACAAAATAAAGATGCGTTTAATTCATGAGTTTTTCAAATTCACTTCGAAAAGTATTCAAATTGATGTTTCAAATGTTGGGTTTTAATTTTTAAAAGGATTTGTTTCTAATTCACATATTAAATTTTTTAAAGAAAAAGGTTGAAATGATAAGTTTAAAATGCGTTGTTTCAGAGCTCTTTTATGAAAACTACTTGATTTTCGTCAGGAGGAACATTCCTCATTATCTAGTGAAAATCTCACAGTTAAATGTTACTCGAATAAGTTATCGGCCAATTCCATTTTCATGTTTGTATATATTTACAGTTTTCTCCATGAAAATTAAAATTTATCACCGAGGAAGTTACTGATTTTGATCTGATATTCGAAAATCGAATATTTATTCAATACCGACTATATGAGGTCATGAGGTTCGTATTCTGATTATTCTTTGGATTTGAAATGCGTGGTAGAAACGGATATCTAAAATAGTATCAGCTAGGTTAGTCGTGGGAGAAACTCTCCTTTACCTATTATGTTTAAATGTTACAGTCCGGATCGAAATAATCTTAGAAAAAGGCGAAGTGAAACCAATATTTAGGCCAACAGAAACCATCAGAGAGAGTCTAAGGTCAGTTAAGGACCCCAGGTAACCTTTAGTTACACTTGTGGCATACGTGATCCCTTGTAGCTGCGAGTCGGTCTACATTGGAATCACGAAAAGAAGACTAGGTACCCGTCTCTCTGAACACACCGACAGTCACATTATTTAATTCGAAGATAAAGTAATACTCGATAAAATTCAATATTACTACCCAAGAGGCAAGAGAGAAATCAATAGAAATTAAAAAACAGGGATAATTTCAATACAAAAGAAAAGGCAGTGAACATTATTAAAATCTGGCTACCTGTCTTTAATTGTACACAAACAAGGACAGGTAATCCAATTGAGAGAAACTAAGCCATGCTTACCAAAAATAATATAAAAGCAGAGTCGAATACCTACCAGCGTCGGAAAGTAATAGCACCTAAAGGCTGACTTTCGACCAAATGTCAATCTTGCTGAAGTGCCCATCAGTAGGATTGCGGACCGCTCGGAGAGCGAGGTGGATGGAGTGGTGTATTGAGTTGGGGGGGAGCGTCGTAGTTTCAGCGTTGAAAACAACGGAAACAACCCAAGCATCAACTTGGGCACTGTGACTGATAATGTCTACCACAGTAGAAGACGAAACGTCACGCATTAAAACCTTCAGACCACGGCCAAAAAAAAAAACGGAAAATAGCTATCACACAACCCAAACTATGTTGGTAGAATATGACAAATATCCAAAAAAGCAGCTATTCAGAGTGGTACAGGAAAAAAAATTAATAGTGGTTATGAAAAGATGAGAATGAGAAATGAAATGGAATGTATGAAATGGGCAAATCAGACGTCTTCCAACTAGCAAAAAATAATTTGGAGAAGTATTTATGAAGAAATAAGTCAAAACTCCACCACAAATACTTTCATAGTCTGTTCAAAATATTCTTCTCAAATATAACATTCCATCTATCATTTTGTCCATGTCAGAAAAAATAATCTAATCAATTACAAATACCTTGACGGTAGTTTCCCTGTTATGATCTGTTGTTTTTAGACATCATGAATACTCTGACTCGTTACTTGATGAAGCCTAACTGATGGAAATTTTTAGAAATCATTAAATGAATATAATGTTTTGATAATTTATAATTATTTTGTTCAGGCCACAGAGAATAATAAAATAGAATTTATTCATCATTAAAAATTTTACAATTGCATTGCATTACACACTTATAAAATTTTATCAGACTTGTCAAACGTGAGCACCAGGCTATATATAAAATATAAATAGATACATACATGTAGATTACAAAAATAAAAGAAAATCATCTTATTGACTTATATTGGGAATATTACTGGAGTTTTTTTTCCTAATGATGATGATCACTTGGTGATCGAAACACGTGTCGAGGTGTTAAAAATAACGATTTGGTGTTAGGAAAAAAACTCCAGTAATATTCATTACTACACCAAAGGTTCCAAACAGTGCATCATAAGTTATATTGGGAGATTGAAAATTCTTGCACAGAATAAAATATATCATTTGCAGACTGCATTTATTTACAAATAGTTTGACTATATGGTTATAGTAAATGATGCCTTGATAACTCGCAGAGTCCTGTCCCACCGCCAAATGTGAGTAAGGTAGTCTCAATTCGTTACCCCTACGTGTATTGTAGTTATGGCACATATTATTTTTTGTGTAGTGAGATTCTTTTTTTTATATTTACAGCTACTACATATATGTACAGGTAGGGAAGAGTAAGTATGGACAGCTGAGTGAATGTGTTCTTACATGATTCTTTATACTGAAGTCCAGCTAGGCATCTTATCACTTTTTTTTGGAAGGACAAAAATCATAGAAAATGTTTTTCTGCTGGAAAATCATAAATACCGTTTTGGTGACATTGACTGTTAACCCATTATTTTTACACCACTTGGAGAATTCATGTGATACTGCATTTGCTGCTTGTAAGGAAAGAGATAACTCGTTTCGTGCCACCATTTGAGTTGTATCATCGGCATAGATTATTGTTTTTTGTTGTGACATATTTGAATTTTCTATATCACTCATGAAGAGTACAAAAAGAATTGGAGCCAGGGTTGAACCCTGCGGAACTCCCATTGTAACAGAAGCAGGATGTGACTTCATCGAATCAATCATTACCACTTGTGTTCTATTTTATATATGATGCAACCCAGTTATTAGCAACTCCTCTGATTCCAATTCTGAGCAGTTTTTCCAGGAGTAAGCTATGGTTCACCGTATCGAATGCTCTAGATAAATGAAAAAATAAGCCAACTGCAATTTGCTTGTTATTGAGACTTGTATATATGCTGTTGCAAAGTTCATTTATTGCTATTGAAGTTGATCTTTGCTGCCTGAAGCCATGTTGGCAATTAGGAATAAGTTTGTGATACTCGATGAAATTCATCAATCTCAGATAATAACTATAATCGATGACTTTTGCAACTTGTGATTGTAAGCAAACATTACGGTTGTTAGCCATTTGAGGTTTAGTGCCTTCATTTTTATATATAGGGACCGACTTCGACATTTTAAGTGTTTCCGGATATATTCCTTCTATGAATGATTTATCTATTATATGCGATATAGGATAGCAAATTATGTCACTTACACTTCTTAAAGCTTCACCATGAATTTCATCTACACCAAGCGTTATTGTTTTTGTCGTTTTCATAATTATATCTTGCACTTCAATCTAATCAATTACAATCAACCTTACCACCATTTGAACTTAAGAAATCGATTTAGAAATCTCAAACACTTGAGAATGAATTTAATCATTCATATTTGATTGTCAATTCCAGAAGCTTCTTGTGTTAGGGAAAGTTGATCTCAGAATATTCAGTAACAAGTAGTATATGCCATTGAATGTACCAACTATGATTTTTTTAAGACGGTTCACAAAAAGTGGATCATTATAATTATTAGAATAATGAAATTTCATATTTAATGGGGTTCATACACATTAACAAAAAAAATAATTCAACTTACCATTTCCATAGGAATTTTTCATTATTGAATTAATTTTTTCTAGTTCTTCCTCTACTTTATCAAAATCAAGTTCAGTAGTTGTCAAAAGAGGAGATACGAATGGACTGGGCTCGGTACCCAAATAACAGCATTCCAACCGTCCTTCCTCTGAGAGAAGCACAAGAGCTCCTTCGACTTGTTCAAAAAATGCTCTCCTTATACAAACTGGTGAAAAATTGAGCTTTGTTGACCAGTTGAGCGTTGTATTTTTGTATATTAATAAAGTATTATCTAACTTTTTCATGAATTTCATCTTGCCTTTCTCATTCAAACAGAATAAATTCCTTTCACCCAAAATTACTATTGAAGATTGCTTGCTGTTGACATCTTCTATCACAGATATATCTAAAATAGTTTCTCCAAGATTGTAACTCCACTCACTGATAACTTTACCCGGACTTACTACGCTGTGGTCCGATTTTTGTTCTGCGTCCGATAGAGAATTATATCTGGAAAATACATTATGATTCTGCTCATACATTGAAAATTTGAGACTGAATTTCTGGTGATTTCTATCTTGAATGAGAGGGTGATAGCCAAGGTTGAATAAGATATTTGACCTTGAGCAACCTTGATGATGAGTGTGACCTTGGCTTATCAAGGTCATACGACACGGTTCAAGGTCATTCTATTCAATTCAAAAATACTTTATTGTCTGAAGAATAAATTCTTATTGACAAAGCCTTGTGCGAAATATAAATAACATATAAATGAAATCACAAAAGTCTCACAAAAGTAAAATCACTAAAAGTAAGTGATAACATGAACTGAAAATAAATTATTAAATAACAATAACCTAAAACAAACGTTCAGGATATAAAAACATGGTCAATAAAATTAAATAAATCAATTTGAACTAAATTGAATCAAATCAATGAAATACCGTATATATTACAGTTAGTCTACTCAATTAAAATTATCATCGTAGAATTCTCCTAATCTATAATAAGGTCTGACAGAAAGCAAGTCTTTCAACTCTTTCTTAAGAGCTCTGCGGTCATTCATGGTTCTTATAGCTTGAGGAAGGTGCTTGAACATTTTGAGACCGTTGTAAATAATGGAATCTTTAACTAGGGTCGAAGAAGGCTGCGGTAATTTGAAGCTGAATCTTCGTCTGGTTTGATACATTGGCTCGCCAAGTTGTTAAACAAGACTCTATTTTTGAAGAGAAGGCAGATTGTCTCATATATTTATAAGGAGACTACAGTTAGGATTATGTTAGAGGCAAAAAACAAATACCATAACGAAGATGGAATTCAAAGAGGGAATGATAAACCATTCTAGCTTCTGCAGATCCGAGTCAAATGCAGTTACTCGTATTGCATAACATCCAGAGGAGACCTTGGATATCATTTAGGTGTATGGCTGGAATCTGGCAACGATAGGATGAATTCAAGCTCAAGAGATTTGAGTCAAACCAGTCTTCCACTTTCGTGATGTCATTCTCAATAACTTCATACAACGTATGGTTGTTAGGAGCATACCATAAAATTGTGGTATCATCAGCAAATAAAGTAAATTTTCCTTGGATGTTAATAGACGATAGGTCATTAATGTAAATCAAGAAAGTGGGCCCAGTACCGAACCTTGTGGGACGCCGCAATTAAGTTTAATTTCATTTAAGTATGAAGTGGTTTTGACCATCTGGGTGCGATCTGCTGAGTATGACTCAAACCACTTAAGACTTTTTCCAGTTATACCGTATCTACTGAGTTTCCGTGAAAGAATTTTATGATTCAAGCAATCAAATGCTTTGGCTATATCACAGAAGACCGCAGCCACTGTTTCTTTGTCATTTATGTTGAAATAAACATTGTAAAGAAAAGAAAATATGGTGTCGGAAGTGTTTTTTTTTGCTTTCGTAAACCAAACTGGCAATCACTTATTATTTTGTTTTCATTCAGAAAGCAAAGGAGTCTTATTTTAACTAATTTTTCTATCAATTTAGCTATTGCAGAGATTAGAGAAATTGGACGAAAACATGATGGACCATTGATGACTTCTCCCTTTGGCAGTGCTAACACAATCGATTTCTTCAAAAAGACTGGAAATATTCCTTCTCTAAATGAATTATTCATTAGACCAACTAATATACCAAGTATTCTTATAGGAATATTTTCTAGGATTATTATAGAGAGTTCATCTGAGCCTGTGGAGTTTTGATTTTTAATGGAAAAATAATGTTTCATGCAGTTCGGTAATATTTATATCATATAATATAAAGGTGTTCGTAACTTCAATATTCACATAGTCTAAGGGGTCTAAGGGGAGGTTTATATTTTTCGTCAAGTCCTCTGCTATAGAGCAATAGAAGTCATTAAGTTCAGTAGGAGAAAACGGAATATCTACAAATTTTTTTGTTTCTCTTGCCAGTAAGTTAGTTGATGATACACCAAGTTCCTTTTGATTTATTCGTAGCTTTATCCATTCTACTTGACTACATTTCTGTAAATGGTGCGATCGGAGGAAGTAATTAAGAAAACATGGGGCAGATGTAAATTTTCTCAAATAAACTCTAATACCTCTTGTCAACCAACCATAAAATTCTATATGATTCCATTCAGAGCTTAGACACAAGTTAGAGAACTTGTTATAATTAGCAGAACTATACAATCGTCCTAACTCAAATTTCGATTTTTTTACATTAAGATTGAGATATACCTAAGAATAAACTACTTCGTGATCTGACAATCCAGAAGAAAGAACATCATAAGAAACTAGCTCGGAGTCTGAATTTGCACAAAAATAATCTATAGTGGATTCGGTAAATTGAGACACACGTGTAGGAGATTTCACCTGCATTTCCAAATTCCATGTTTCCAATAAATTGATTAAAAACTGTGTTGCTTTTGAATTTTGTTCTATGTAAATAATATTTAAATCTCCAGTTAAAATAATTATAGGTCAAAGCTAAAACAACAACAAAGTTGCATAGTCAAGTTTATAGGACGTGCTCCAAGATCGTTTCAAGGTCAAATTGGGGGGTAAGGACTTTGGATGGGTATAATTCAATAATAATCGTACACAATCATCAATATTTATCAACTTATTTGTTTCGTTTATCGAAATGCACTTCTGAACAAAAGTTAGTTATGTGTATTATCGAACAAAAAATTGATTTCATTGAATAAAAAGTAGAAATAGATTGGAAAGCTTCATAATTGATAATGATTCTCTTCATATTTGGATGTCATATATATCTAATTGCTCACCAATAAACGGTGATTCTAAGTCCAAACGCACACACTTTATTCAAGAAACTTTCTAACTACGAAAATAGAATACCTAGAATATTCATGTACAATATCTATGTTAGACTGTGGACCGTTATTATTGTTTTATATAATTTTCATATTTTTATTTATGACATGTCTTATATTATGTAAATGATCCAAAAGACGAATGAAGTTATTATTATTATTATTTTTTCCTATGAGAGCCCACACACAGGCAATTTATCGTAGCACATAGAAAATTTCAATACGTTTGATGACATAAAAAATAGAAAATATGCAGTTAAGAAAATGTCAAAACTTTTCCCGCTCATGCGGAAATAATAAAAAAATTGGATGTTTCCCAAATTTTCAATTGATTCATCAAATTATCTATTTAAAAGCCTTATGCTAACTAATGGATGTTCCAAAATTTTCAGAATTTTTTTTTGTTTCTCAGGACACTCATCTACATCTACAGGTAGTTACAGTGTCAGGTATTGTTACGTTTGGATGAGTGAAATGATCTCTGGTACATATTTGAATTATATATACATACTTCAATTTTGTGATGTCATTATTAAAGACTATTAATGAGTCAATCTAATCAAGTTAACATCTTCAGAAGATGACTAAAACTAGAGCCTCACTACCTACCTGCCTACCTGCACTATTATGTAGTTGATAAATAGACAATAAAATACAAAAGTGAACCAGTATGACATACAATATATTAGCTTGTTTCAAAAGTTTTGTCCGTTTTAATGAGTCTATTTCAAACTGTAAAATCTCAGTGCATACTAATTCAAATTGTTCGAAATGACAGTGAATCAGTGCACTTCTGCCAACTAAACGCAAGTTGATCAATTCCGTTAGCATAAAAATTTTGTGATAGGGTATAAGGGTCGAAGTACTTGAAAACATGCTAGTCGGTTGGCGAGAGGTCAGGGGAGTAAGGTGGATGGAGCAGAAGTTTGACAGCCAATTCACTCAATTTTTGGACATTGTGGAGCAGAATCGGACTTCTCTGCTGCTACTGACGCACTTTTTGGTACATTTCGTTGACTCTATTGTGATGATTTGGCCCGGTTGTAGAGAGTTATAATGGATTACACCAGCTGTTGACCACCATACAGTAGCCATGGTCTTTTTTTGATGGGTTTTCATCTTTAGAGAGTGCTTGGATAGCTCATCGGTGTCCAACCACTGTCCTTAACGTCTACCTGCAGTCGTAAAAGATCCTCTTTTCATCACACGTGACGATCCGAGTCAAAAAAGTACGGTTTAGGTCGCGCAAAAGCAAAGAAAAACAGACCTCGAAACGTGACAATCTCTGTCTATCGTTCAAATCTGGGCATATCCACCTTTCGAACTTTTTGACGTTTCCAATACGTTTTAAACCATCAAAAACCGTATGGGAACTGACACCCAGTTCTTTCGCCATCCCACGCTTCATTTGTAATGGGTCAGTCTCCACCAGGGTCCTCAAATCCTCGTCTGACATCACTGTAGGTCGATACTAACACTTATAATTCTTGAAATCCATTTTTTTAAAATTTTCTTTTGAACAACCTATCAAGGAGAATACGTACAGCACCATCTGCTTGCTAATAGATGAAGCAATAATGTCGATAGTTACGTACAGCGCCATCTGCCCTCCAATAGATCAAGAAATATCAAGGAGTTTACGTACAGCGCCATCTGCCCGCGAATAGATCAAGCAATAATGTCGATAATTCTGTCAATACAAATCACGAGCTTGAAAGTTGCACACAAATATACATACATACTTACAAGCATACATAAATACATACATACATACATATAGGTGAATATAATATAAAGCGTGTAATAAAAAAAGGAAATTTGACACTGATGAGGCCAATAACCAGAAACACGTGTCGGCGATTTGCCCCTCCTCTTTTTAGAATGCTGTGTTCGCGAATTCTGTTTTTTTGTTATATATCTGTATCTATATTAATATCGAACTCTAAAATACTGGTCGATAAGGCCTATATGAAGTTGTTGAAATGATAGGTTTGTCCGTATCAGGACCAAACCTAGGTTAACGATATCATATTCATATATTTTTTAATAGCACTGCAGGGCAATTACTTGAAACCAGAGCTTGAAAGCCAAAACACTCATAATCGAATACCGAACACTGTTTCAACCCGCCATAGGTCTCATCAATGGTGCTGGGCTCAACCCTGAATGCATTGCTTTCATCTTTGATGTTCCTAGATTCAGTCTGCTGTTGATCCCGTTATAGTTATTTTCATAAGAGGAGATTCCATTACTTTTATTTACCAAAGCTTGTCTTTCGAAGACATTCAAATCCAGCAATGCATTCACTGATGAGACCTATGACGGTCGGAACACCACTATATGGTGTTAGATCACGAATATTCTGTTTTTGAGCTCTTTGAGCCGAATTATCGGATCAGTTGTTCAAAATGAAGAAAGGAGTCATTTAATATTCGTGATTTTTTTGGCCCAAAACAACAGCCACCGTATTCACCAGATTTAGCCGTGTGACTTTTTCTTGTTCCCAAGATTTCAGAGATCCATGAAAGGACGGCGTTTTGCGACGATTGAGGTAATGAAAACCGAATCGCCGAGGGAGTTCAAGAATATTCCAAAAAGTACATATCAGAACAGCTTCGAGGATGTGAAAAAACGCTGGCACAAGTGTATTATATCTGAAGGGAACTATTTTGAAGGGGACAAAATAGAAATTGATAAATAAATGAATATTTTTTGAGAAATTCACCTTATTTTGTGAACAGACCTTGTACATTACTCTCCAAACTTTACGTTTCTTAAAGCAATGGATAATTTGTCGAAAATCTATTTTTACATGCTTTATATTAGCTTCACCTGTATGCATGTATGTTTGTTGGTTGTAACTCTCAAGGTCGAGATCTGTATTTGACAGAATTATCGACATTATTGCTTGATCTATTTGCGGGCAGATGGCGCTGTACGAAACCTCCTTGATATAATTCGAACTCACTGTACATGTATTTCTTCAATTGAAAAAAGGATTTTTTTTATTAACAGTCGCGCTTGCTGCCTTATTTGTAACCCTCCTTTGCGCGCCTGATGCCTTGGGCTTGGTAGCTGATTTTCAGGCTCCCTCTCCGGAATCGGAAAATATCAATGGTCATTTTTCTAAACAATATACGGCTGATAAATAAAACATAGTTAAACATACAAACATTTAATATGAATAACTCTTCAATGGTTCAGAGTAGAAGTTCCCAGAAATAGGACTTGTAACTCTAATAATAATATTCAATATTAAATACTCCAAAAGGTTAATTGTTTAGGTAGAAGATGTGGTGGTTTACAAATCTTCGTTGAAAAACATGTACTTTAACCTGAGTGTATTTAGATAGAATGTACATTAATAAATACAAATTTAAATGTTAGGATTTTATCCTGTATAAAAAATATATGAGTGAAACCTGTTCCTCTGGCGACAGCACTTTGAAAACTCAGTACGGAATCCCAGGCCAACTAGGACTGGAGTGATGAGTGAAGCGATACTATGACAGCCTTATTCTCTCTGAGTGCAATCAACTGGTCATCAGGCTGAACCATGGAGTGTACACTTCGGGCAAGTGAGCCCTATTGGAACCATAATACCAAAAATATCTTCAAGATGAAGACGTGGGGTTAAACCAAAGCTTGATTTATCTTGTAGTAAAAAGCCGTTGGCGTGGTAGAAAGTTTTCAAATAACAAATTGTCGTAAATGTTCAATATAGGCCTCTATCAAAAGCTAGGACGTTGTGGTTGATGATAAGATAGGTAGAACGGAATATCCACTAAGGATCATTTAACAAATTCAGGATTCATCAGCCGAACAAAACAAGAAACACCTGTATGGCAGACACTTGTAGCTTTCGCAGAATCTACCATCCTAACTGATCAGAAAATAATTCCTTTTCTTCTTCTTTTTTTCGGAAGGTAGGGTCACAGCATACTATGCTGTGATAGGGTACTAGCGTTTCAACCTATCAATATTTGCATGTTCCATGCATTCCGGACCAATCTGAATAGAATAAAGTATTGGTATGTTTGGTTGTATCTGGTCAGACACCCCCTAATGTTAAATTGGGTACACTGACGAAAAATGAAACAGTTGACGGTCGAAATGTCATCAAACAGCTGACAATTAGAATTAAACGGAAAATACCAAAAGAACATTTCAATTCGAAGACACTCCTTGTGAGCCTTATCAATAACCAAAACACAGACATACATCACACCTACTTTCTATCATTTTAAGATCAAGACTGGTACGCAGTAAAACAAATCACACTTTCCAGAGTAAGCAGAAATACAAGCTATAGCTCTTAAAAAAACAAATAGGGCTATAACGTATGTAGTTTTAGTGAGGAGAACAAGTTGAAATCAGAAGAGTTATGCATTTTTCTGATGGTGAATCGGGAACTTATGATTTTCCCAGTAGTGAGATTTCACAATATCATGCAAATTTGAGTATTAGTTTTCATTCAAAATGTTGTTACCAACGTTTCACTTACTTATACGAGTGCACATGCCAGTTCCCATTTCCTGTTACGAAACTATCAGTCATCTTTATGTAAGCCATTGGGCTTGGTAAAAGGAAATCCGGTAGAAAGCAGGAAAAACTAACATTCTCCTGTTCGAAAAAAATTAGCATACCGTCCAGAGATTGAACACATATAAAATCTCTATTTTGCGTTCCCCCGAATGGACCAATCGTAAAACTCGCCGCAGATTTTTGAAGAATATGACCATATACTTCATCTAAAGAATGTTGAGTACCTAAAATAGCGCATATTCTTTATACTGATTCTGAAAAATTTATTGATTTAATGAATGAATATTAATTTTACCATGTTCGGTTATTCCTTTTTTAACGTTAAAGTTGAGAACCGAAAGTAATTTCGGATAGAGGATTGCCAATTGAACATTTTGGGAACCTCTGAAAAATGTTTTCAATCACTGACTTATTAACGAAAATAATGTGTGCTCGATCAAATATTTACTTACGAAACCAGTCTTCCAGTACCAATTTGGAGAATGGGGTAGTCGAACAATTTTTCAATCAGTAAATCTGTTGCAACATATCCATTAATTCTGTCATTTTCGCTCAGAATACAGGACGGTTTGAAAATCCTCAATACCCCACTTTGACTGCCACTGATAATGTAATCACTTTCAGTATTTAATTTTGACAAAATGAGTGAGTTTTGATCAAAATATTCGTCATCTTCGCTTTGCGTTGACCAGAAAACCCTTGTTTTGAACAAGGACATTATTCTGGAAGTCTACTTTCACAATGAGAGGGTGAACTCAATGGTTAGGAAAATATTGATTTTAACGTTGAAAACGTGTAGAGTAGAGAATCGATAGTAGCTACATGAAGAACAAACAGTAGTAACCGAATTCTGCGGATTATATATTTCGTGTATATTTGGAGAATATTTTTCTTACCTACTTATAAATTATTATCAAAAATTTAATTAGGAAGCGGTAATCGCTCACAATTTTGGGATTCACGTCTATTGATCACGCGAACGCGAATAAGTTCTTCAATGCATTAAGGGTAATAATAAGTTAACTAATAGTTTCTTGTACTGGTACAGATACGTATATGATATTTTAATCTGTTTTACTGGTACAGATAGGCAATTAGGCAAGTTCATTGACTATGCCAATTCCATCCACCCGCCAATAAAATTCACTTCTGAGAGGATGGTAAATAATTCAGTGAATTACCTTGACTTAACCATTAGGAACAATTACAATAAACATGAATTTGCAATTTTTCACAAACCATCTTACACGGACATTATCATACATAATTCTTCCACACATCCTTACTAGCATAAGGGTGGTGCATTCATTGGTATGCTTCACAGACTATCAAATATTCCACTGTCTAAGAGTAATTTTCAGAGAGACCTGAGTCAGATCAAACAAATTGCGGTTAACAACGGTTATAAGGTAGATATTATATAATCCGTTCTTTACAAAAAACTACAAAAGCAAGGCATGGACCTGGTCTACCCATATTCAAGATGCGACGTCAGTTATAGGGCATTGTCATATTTGGGTGAACCAACCAATAATATTGCCCTTTTTTTGAAGAAAGAATACGTAAACGTAGCTTACAGAACGAATAATAGTCTGAGTAAAATTATTAACAATTAAGACAAAACTTCGGTGTCGGATAGATCAGGAGTATATAAGNTAACAAATCTATGTAAAAATCAGGTACTTGAAATGTAGGTACTTTAGGCATTGAATATGTAGAATTAGTTATTGAATACACGCCCGAAGAAGCCATTGTATGGCGAAACACGGGTTTCATTTTTGTAAAATCGTTCAGTGAAAATCTCACAATGAAGTGTTTTTAGAATACGTTAGTTATGGATTTTCAGCAAGTAACGGCCAACTCCTTCATGTATATTAAGGATCATTTTGCTCCAATCAGAATGTTTGAGGATTATTTTCATTTTGGACATTTCCCACCTCAAAGTTATTCATTATTCATTGATAATTCGTCCAAACGAAATGTTTTTTTGGAACCGATGTGTAATTTTTCAGGTACCTACCAACATTAACTGAATCTGAATAATTTTAAATAGATATTCTCAAAACATTGAATAGGAAAATATCGTCTGAAGACTGTATCGAGGAGAGATGCCAACCTTTGAAAAAATAAGTATTTTGAAATGCAGTTTCGAAATATTCATCTCTCCCAACTACCTTAACCTAGGTTCTGGGAAACATCATAAAAAGGCAAAACAACAAAATCATATGCAAGGTAAAAAAGCATAGGTACAAGCAAAAAAATATGAAAGTATGATAACAGAAAAAAGGTCAGGAATAAATGGAACACAACGATGAGATCGTCTGGCTGCACTGTCAAACATACTTCTGAAGTGGCTACTGCTGGATGCGGCCAGAATTTAGGGTCTCAATAATTGTCGGAGTCTATTTGGAGGAGTGTGAAACAAGAGCTTTGAGTTTTCTTGATGGTTTCTGGAAATATAATATTTTCGAAGATTGGTTGCCTGAAGATTACCTATATTATGATTTTTTGTCTACTTCGTCGCTACCTTCATTATGTGAATCAATATTCAGATAATTCACAATGAAAGTAAAATTTTTAATTTCCACAAAATCTCTCAGTTCAGCCCAAACTAATTCAATTCCGTGTCATATGGCGGTAATCGTAAGACGAAGATTTGCTGCTTTATTTTTTTGTCTTATAGTTGTTTATGAGGGTATATAATTAAGGTTTATTCTAAATGGAATATTCTTCTCTGATAATCATGATTGTGTATCGGTTTTTTGGTCGATGTTGTTGGCATTTTGTCGATATTATGATATGATGCATTATCGATCACCACAAAGTTTAATCAATTTTCCTAAGCGTAGAAACTCGTTTCTCTTCAATATGGAAATTATTTATACATCTGCGTAGAATTGACCAATCAGCATCATCCATCACAATTTTTGAAGTTTTGATACATCTATTTTTTTCGGAGTCAGATGGTAAGAGTACGGCGGAGCCGTACGCCTGAGCCGTACTCTTACCATCTGACCTGGAAGACCTCTCACCAAACAAACTAATCGGCTTCGTTAAGAAGCTGGGATCATTTGGTCGAGTGTGAATAGGTGTGAGCCACAATGAACCCTTGCGGATCGCGGTGGAGGGTTGAATATACCCACTCATTCTGGACCTATCCTAATCCAACCTAACTGTAAACGTAACTCAACCAGTTCATTATAGTATCTTCAGGTGAGTAATGTCTAGACTTTCCTTCAGGTATTTGAATTTGAATAATAAGAGTCTGATAGTTTTTGTTAATTGGTTTGTGTGGTGTTTCCATCGCATGTGTGAGTCGAGGATAACTCCAAGATTCCTGATTTCACTTTTTGTTTGTATCACTTGAGAGTTGTTTGTCATTTGTAGGGTTTGAAAATTTGGAAGCTGACACTTGTAACTCGTGACAGGAATCATTCATATATACATCGTGACTCACGATCGATGGTAGGTTGGACGTTTCCGGAAAACGCAAAGCATGATTTTTCTGAAAATTTCACCTCTCACATTTCCTTACCTGTTCTGTCGATCTGAAATATTTTCAGCATTGCGGTGTTGCCACTTCTATCAAAAAGTCCTAGCAATTATATTTTTTTAAAGGAAACACCCCATATATTAATACATTTTTGGAATCGCTATAGTATTTTAATACTTTTTTGTTGATAATTTCCTATACCTATCTCTATCTGTTTTCGAGATAAAAAATAAATTGTGCTAAATATGGTCCAAAACATAGCCTTAATTGAAATTAAGTACATCAGTACTCTCAATTCATGAAAAGTTGATATTTTGATGATAGTTTGGACAGACTCGAAGTATCCAAATAACACCACGAAATCGACTCCATATCATACAGGGCGTCCTAAAATTACTATTATTTCCATTGTGCATAAAAGTAGTCAAAAGTTCATTTTTTCAAATGAAAGCCCCTGTATATTACTCGATAAATTGAAAGATGGTAGAAAATGCTTCAAGATGATATACATATCCCTATACCTAAATCATCAAGTTTTCTTAATAGAGCCGTTTTTGTGGAAAAATAGTTATTCACGTTTTACCTACAAGTGTTGAAAGTGGCATTTTATTTTGAGAGTGGGGATTATTGTAAAACGAGCGTCAGCAAGTGGAGCAAAGTCACGAGCAAAATAAAATCACTTTTAAGAAATGTATCATACATGTATAACGTTACTGCTGATAATAAAAAAAATTATAGCGTCCATGGGATTTGAACACACGATCTTTGGATTATGAGGAGGATTATTGGTTAGTCATGAAGGACTTTCCACAGTTGGACTGAATACTACTTCGTCATCGTCAGTAACTTCACAGAGATTTAATCATACCAATAGCACGAACTGCATAAAAAAAAATGTTTCTAGAAGAAGCGACTTTATTGAGGAAACTTGACGATTTAGGTATAGGGACATGATATATCATCTCGAAGAATTTTTCACCATATTTCAATTTACCGAGTAATATATAGGGGGTTTCATTTGAAAAAATGAACTTTTGACTACTTTTATGCACAATGGAAATAATAGTAATTTTAGGACGCCCTGTATGATATGGAGTCGATTTCGTGGTGTTATTTGGATACTTCGAGTCTGTCCAAACTATCATCAAAATATCAACTTTTCATGAATTGAGAGTACTGATGTACTTAATTTCAATTAAGGCTATGTTTTGGACCATATTTAGCACAATTTATTTTTTATCTCGAAAACAGATAGAGATAGGTATAGGAAATTATCAACAAAAAAGTATTAAAATACTATAGCGATTCCAAAAATGTATTAATATATGGGGTGTTTCCTTTAAAAAAATATAATTGCTAGGACTTTTTGATAGAAGTGGCAACACCGCAATGCTGAAAATATTTTAGATCGATAGAACAGGTGAGGAAATGTGATAGGTGAAATTTTCAGAAAAATCATGCTTTGCGTTTTCCAGAAATGTCTAACCTACCATCGACCGTGAGTCACGCTGTATAGATAATGATAACGGACAAAGGACAGGACTTTGGAGTATTCCATATGTAATTTCTTTGGGCATGCTATCGTGGTGTCCAATTCTTATTATTTGTTTCCAATTGCTCAAGTAACTTTCGAATAACCTGAGTGTTGTCCTCAGTATTTCTGTATTCTCCACAACCTGCAACATATTTTAATGATCTACCGTGTCGAAAGCTTTGGCTGAATCCAGCATCGTTGGTCAACTGCATGTATGAAACCTTTATCTTAGGGAAAGCCTGTTAACTAGTAACAGCCCCATCTCGTGAACAAGCCCCAAGCGGGAAAGAAACGTCCCATGTACCAATACTCTTGACAGAAATGAAAACTGTATCGAGGAAAAATACATATTACAAGAATTTCGAAACATTTATTTCTCCTAACTATCTACACCGTAGGTTCTGGTAAATGCTTGCCGGAAAACAACTGCTTTTTCGGAACTCAGAAATTGTGATTATATTTTCAGAAATAAAACAGTATTGAAAACAGATTCATATGTTATGTTAGGTCCAAACTGAGTAGGTTTATTCGACTCTCTACCGCAACCCGCAAGGGTTTATTGTGGCTCACACCTATTCACACTCGACCAAATAAACCCAGCTTCTTAACGGATCCGATTAGTTTGTATGGTGAGTGGTCTTTCAAATCAGTTGGTAAGAGTACGGCTCTGTCGAACTTTAAAATCCTGGTTTGGTCCCTAGCGGGGCAGGCAAAATTATGTGCTCTGCTGTTCCATCATTAATGAGGTAGTTTGATAGTCAAGGTGCAAGATTCCCACCTTGATACATGCCAAAACCTTCCCATATGGAGGTTTTTGCACATCAGCTACACCTAACAATGCCTTTGATTCAACCGTGCAGGGCCTTTTCGCTTCTGGTTTTGGTGAATCATCACCAAACCTGCTCATGGGGGGGTCTGTTCCTCTGCGTGCGGCGCTCAAGAATTTGGTGCAACGTGGTTTCATAAGGTACCTCGCTCTTGAGGAGATGATTCAGTCGTTTCCTGGCCGCACCACCAAACCTTTTTTTAAGGTTCAGTTATTGGATCAGGAGTTGGAGAGTTGAGAAGCTCTCGCTCCTGATCTAAATTTACAGGGAGGTCAGTTGGAGTCGGAAGCTCGATATCCATCTCCTCTGTAGACCTCTAGAAAGAATTATTCAGATTCCTCTGTCCATAAAAGTCTCATGAGTCTCTGTAGACCTCTGTAAGCCATCAGAAAGAATTATTAAGATTACTCTGTCCATAAAAGTTTCACAGGTAGCTAGGGAAAGAAGATCAATCACTGCAGAGCCCCACATTACCGAGATAAGGCGATGCTACGTCGGGAGGGCGCCCGGTATCTCGAAGGTTCCGTTGAGACAGCTGATAGGCTCAGTGTCATTTATCCTTTCGGCATGAATACACACACCTTGGGATTTAGCCATCGTTGGGATGCCATTCGGTTGGGGAATAACAGAACCACACGTGATTCTGTCATTACCGTATCCAGCAGGGCTACGTGGAAGCAGGCATCCGATGGCCGGTTTCCTCAACTTCCACATCCCAAGCAATATACTCGCCAAAAACAGCATGCACAGTGGTTCAGGCAGTGAAGGATGAACAACAGCCAACCCGCCAATTTGATATAACTATCAAATGAGTTATTCCAAAATCCCCTTCCATAAAAAAAAGTTGGGAAAACCCTCTCGTTTACTACTATTACAACACCATTGATTTTTATATGAAAAAACACAAAAAATTATGGCTTTCCATGAAAATTTGCCCGCCCTTGATAACTTAACAAAAGATACGAGAGGGGATTATCTATGTCCGCACTGTATTAATGTATAAGTGATTCGTCAATTTTTCCACTCTGTGAATAACAAACACAAACTATATGCGACAAATTCATAAATAGATGCTCATTGGTCGCCGGAAGTTTGTACACGTAACTCCATAATTTGAAATATGCCACAGTTGCATTGCATAACATACTAATTGAACAATGAAATGAGGACAGTTCAACACATCGAAGAAATATCCAAAAAACATCTTCGTTTCTGTATTTTATGATATTGCTGCTCAATTCGAAACGCTTCAAATCCTATACCATTACTTTCATTTGTGAAACTTTCACCTGGTTGATGTTGTACCGCGGGATGTATTCTTGAGTTTTGTTGACTCCACCTTGAGTTATACGAGTATAGTGGGAGAAACAAGAAGTTTCACACTAGCATCTCTTTTAGTATGATCAGTGGTCAGTGTTGGTGAATGAATTGAATAATAACTATGAAGATAAGTGGATGATGAATTATTACTATACGACTGGATGTTGCAAAGAGAGAAGTGTTCATATATCATTTAGTTTGCATTAACTTGAAATGTGTAGATAGTTTTATTGAGGAATTTTTGTGATATGGTAGATTATAGTGAAAAATCAATTCATTTGGTGACACCAAAAATGAGTGGTATGAATTTGATGCTTATTAGGGCATCAATAGTTTTGGGAATGGTAGCAGCAGTAGTGACTTTGTTATATTTAACTCCTGTGCCAGGTGAGTTGTACCTACTTATCAAAGTAATGAAATGTTGAAAAGTTAACTTCACTGAAAATTGCATTGTTAATTTTCAATTTCATTTCACGAGAACACACCTTTTTGTTGGTTATGTTACATTCACTGGTACAGTGAACTACTCTTAAATTCTATCAGAGACAACATTAGCAGCTTTTTGCATTTGTCTCAGACAACTGAGGATCAGGTTTCCACCATCATTTATAGTAACTGAGTCTTTTGGGACTGACAATATAAATATCAATTGTCCATATATGATTATATACATCACACATGTTTTGAATGAATGTTTGAATTGTTGTTACTTGGCCAAAGCTTGGAAGTGTGCTTATGTACTGCCATTAGCAAAAATCAGTAATCCAACGGAACACATTCACTTACGAAGTATAAGTGTGCTGCCAACCCTATCGAAAGTACGAAAAAATTCTTGAACTGCAAATGATAACACACTCTGATATATGCTATATTTGAAATATCTTGGCATTGCTCTTGATAAAAAAATCACCTGGAACACTCACTTGGAAAAAGTTTTACATAAAGCCAGACTGTCCCTGTGGACATGTCAAAGGATTTGTGGTAAAACTTTGGGTTTAGGTCCCAACGCTATCGAAAGTACTAGACAAAATTCTTGAGCTAATTTATGCTGTATTTGAAATATCTTGGCATTGTCCTTGATAAAAAACTCACTTGGAAAAAGTTTTACACAAAGCCAGACTGTCCCTATGGACATGGATTTGTGGTAAAACTTGGGGTTTAGGTCCCAAACAAAGCCATTGGATTCATGTGATGATTATCAGACCAATGATTACTTATGGTGCAATTGCCGGCCCAGGCGAAGCTCTCTGGCTATGAAGATACTTCTAGATCTACCTTCTCTCCACATTTTTCCGGAGAGAGAGGCTAGATGGATTGTATACAGTATTGTGCACATTGCCAATTGCACAAATCAATTTAATGCAGAGTGCAACAGACTGTTGGTTGACTCTGAAAGTCACAGCATTCACGACTTTATGCCTCCAACTGTCAACTACGAACTGCTTTATAAGGTGCTGTTCCCGAGTAGAGAGGACTGGATCCCCCGGGAGAAAGAAATATTAAGGGCAGATAGTTGTTGGTTCAAAGATGGATCAAAAACACCTTCCGGTTCTGGTGCAGGTGTTTTTAGTCGCTGACCCACGACAGAGATATCTACCTGACTAGGAACTTATGCGACTCTATTTCAAGGCTATTGAATTGTGTGAGGAGAGATTGGAAGGATCCAACCTCATACACAAGTCAATAACAATATTCTCGGACAGTCAAGCGGCGTTGGAAGCTCTTGGCTCCTACCGAGCAACGTACAAATTGGTAGCAAATTGCCAAAAACGACTCTACTCGATAGGAAGACTTAACAGATTGTCTCTGGTCTGGATTCCTGGCCATACTGGCCTGATAGGCAATGAGGCTGCTGACTCCCTTGCAAAGGAGGGAGCTGCAAGCCGCTTTATCGGACCATAACCTGTATTGGCATCGCTTTAGGCTTTGCCAAACAAACAGTAAACACCTGGATGGCAAAACCATTTATGGACTTCTGGCAGAATCTTCCAGGATTGGCTCACTCCAAGGCGTTTATTAACTCATCGAAGCTGACTACCAAACAGTTGTTGAACTACAGTAGGGAGTAACTACGATCTCTAACAGGCCTTTTTACAGGTCACTGCCGTTTGAATGCAGATACTCGGAGTGTCGGAAGACAGTGTGTGTCGCCTCTGTTTGGAAAATGATGAAACAGCGGAGCAAATACTTTGTATCTGCTATCTGCCCCGCTGGGGACGTATCAGGTTTTTATAGTTCGACAGAGCCGTACTCTCACCATCTGATTTGAAAGACCACTAACCATACAAACTAATCGGATCCGTTAAGAAGCGGGTTTATTTGTTCGAGTGTGAATAGGTGTGAGCCACAATTAACCCTTGCGGGTTGCTGTGAAGGGTCGAACAGACCCATTCACTTTAGACTTAACCTAACCTGATATTTGCTTCCCATATATCAGAGTGGATTCGGATCTGGCTACAGTTGTTCATCAGTACTGTGTGTTGTTTCTGGTGACATATTGAGGTCACTTGATAATATCAGTAATTTGTGCAATAGTAATCACTAGTTGTAACTACGTATGTTCTATTCAAACTTGTTCTGACAAAACATTGGTTTTATGATGAAAATATTTCCAGTTCCATTACTCAGAAATTGTTTTCCTTCTGAACAAATCGCCCCTACCGACTGATACAAAATAACAAATTGATGAATACAATCATTTGAAATGATAATTGTTAGCATTTCATACGCTCATTGGGATTCAAGCTATAGGGTAGCGATTTTCTAGTTATGATTCGTGTCAACTTGTGTCAAATAGTGAGAATTGAAGGAGTCATTTGTGTTGAATCCAAACAGTTTCAAATACACATTCCAAATTTGGAAAAAAACAAGAAAATTACCAATTTCATGAAGTTCATTGTTTAGTATCATCTTTCCTTGACATTACGCATATGCACATTTCAATTCGAGTTGGATATACTTCTGATTGAATTATCAATGTTCACCCTAAATCCACCCTGAAGACCTAGTAATAGTCCTATGACTTTCAGGTCACCACATAATTGTCACTTATACGAATTATAATTTTTGGCTTTCTACTACTCCATCCTGATACAAAAAAGGGGATGAGGGAATCTTACAAAGAAAGGAAGGAAGTAATCAATTTGAAAATAAGTGACTCTATACATGGATGTGTAGATCATGCAGAAAAGTAACTTTCAGACACAAACTGAAAGAAAGTCCTCCTGAAACAGTTACTTTCATATAAACATTGAATTACACGAAAGAAAAAATTCTTTCGAAAGAAATACTTCTATATGAACACTGAATTATACAGAAGATACTTTTCTCTACTCAGTTTGTATTTCAAACATTCGTTGTGGAATAATAATCAGGTATCATTCACATGAGTTCGACTCTGAATGAATGGTAATAAATTGCACTTACATGGAACACTGTCACCCTCACTGGTATACACCGAACTTTGGCATTAATCTTAAATTGGTTGTAAACTGGTGTTATTTGGGATATTTGATGAATATTTTGGAAATAGTTAACCTGCCTAGCTCCACTTTTACAATGAATGCAACATAATATCCCCCTATGTGTGCAACCAGGGAAAAACGTAGTTTTGCTGTGGACTTTTTAACAATTGAAAACAAGGAAATTTGAGTACATACATGAATTTTGTACTCATGAGAAGGCATACATTTGAGCATAACAATATTCATAGTTTTCTCATTGTATATTTCACAATATAATCTCTTGTGTGTTCCGCTGGCAAATGCGTTATTCAACAGTTTACATTTTCTCTTCAAATGAAAGTTCCGTTTTGCCGCCTCGCACGAATTGAATTCAGTCCGAAGAGTGAAAGTTCGTTAAAATAAACGGCACCTGATGTAAACTGAGATTGTATTCGTTTGGACCGTCTCATGGAATGAATATCATCCAACTGACTGATTTAATAAAAAGAATTCGTATTTAGGTTTCGATACGCAGTGCCGCGTTATCAGACATTCTTTTCGGATTATTCTTATTTCCTATCCCACCTTATGTAAGAAAGTAGAAACGACAAAATTATGTTTTTGTTCCAAATATTTCTACATTTTTAAATAAAGTATACTATAAAAAAAAATAATTTGTTTTTCTAAGTAACAAAAGATGAAGGGAAGTGCAAAAAATTCAATGCATTTCTCTCTCTATCTCTATTTAATTGTACATTTTGCTTCCAGAAATTTCATATGGAAGGTTGTTTACTCACACCAACGGTTGGAGAAGTGAATAAAAGAAAGGATAATTTATCTTAATCTTTGTTTATACTTCATTTTAACTAATCTTTGAATATACCTTTTGGTTGAGTATCATTATAAAATTTCATAATTGCATATCACATTTGCCTAT